GAATGCTCGGGAATCAAAGATGCAGAAAATGATGATTTTATTGGTAAAACTGCATAGCCAATAGGTCATTTGACAGAAGGCAAAATAAACCATGCATCCATTTTGGAAAAGTCCTTTTTGTTTCCTTAATTCTAAGGCCCCCTCTAGTGTTTGAAACAGTCACACGCGGCACACAAAGCGATCTAAGGCACAGTCTTTTTGTTCGGACGGTAAAAGAATCCTGTTCCGCTTACATGGCACGAAAATCAATGAGAGAAAATGTCTAACCACAATTAATGTTTCAAATTCCTGCTATGATTCACATATTCATTATACTCTCATTCAATACTTTCTTTCTCTGTTATTTACTCTGCTGAGTTGTTTTTAGAAGATTAATACTTTGCTAACAAGGGGAGAAAACAGAATGTAGGTAGGGACGCTTAACTTCCAAGACAAGAAATAACCCCTTCTTGAAAATAACAGAAAATTAATTTGTTACCCAATAGCCTACGTTGCTTTTATGGAAGGTATACTCTCTAAAGTATGTACTTTATATTTGGGAATCAGAAATTCTGAAATCTACATATATTTTGGGAGCCACCAATTCTGTGAATGTTTTAATAAACCTTCTGAATAGCATTACTCTGAGGGCAAATGTTGGCTCTGAAAGGAATTCTTAAAGTTTATACAGATATGGCACTACATCAATGCACTGATTTAATCTCATGCACTTCTGAAAAAGATTGATTAAAATTAGGGGGAGTTTTTCACTCTACTGTCTTAGCTAAAAGTCTCTGTTGTCTGTGGTCATGTTATGTTACCGAGGGTATGAGTTAAGTAGTATTTCTATTAAAAATAACAATCTTGAGCAGGAGACAGAAAAGACCTTATTAAGCTATTTTTGTCTATTCTTAAAAGTTAAATTTTGAAAATTCAATACTTCTTGAAACAATTTTAATCTTTATTAACTTTATTTAAATAAATGACTGTTTGTCATTCAGCGTATCACATGGCTTTTCTGCATTGATCCTGCTTTCTGTTTTCAAAGGTGTCACTTGCAAATGTCACAAGTTAAACAGACAGATCATTTAAAAATGAATTAAATAAAACTGGTTACATCATTTACTAGTGGTCTCAACTTTTAAGATACCTACGTTCATGTGAATAGGACACAGCATTTTAAAGTGCAAAATATACTCTTTTGGCTCAAAAGGAAGAATTACATAACTGGAAATTATTGCAGTCATTTCTCCTTGAAAAAAATTAGTGAAAAGCGGCTTTGAAAGTTAGCCATGAAACTATAAATTATGAGGAAACACTAAAAAGTCTTTGAGTATATAAAATGCAATTACAAATAAAACCAAAACAGGAGAGGTAGCGTAAATAAAAGCAAATAAATACTATACAACAACATACAAAAATTTGTTCATAAAAACCTGAAATTTGCATCTTAAAACACCTATTTTCCCTTTCTTTTGTGGGTATGTCAATGAAATTAAAATTTTGACGTAGAGTCTCTGTAAAGATGGTCCAAATGTTATTAATTACCAGCATTGTTTTTTGCCAAAACCTCTCTGATCTGTCGGTCGAGTTCACTTATTATTCGATCCTCGTGATTATACACCCCCGTCCTCATCAAAGTATCCCTTTCTTCTATTAAGCGGGTCAAATAATCATCCAAACCTTCCTCCAGTGCACTGCCATGTGGGCGATCCACTTTTCCACTTGCAATCTCTTTGGAATCCGGGAACTGCTTTTGTTCTTGTTGTCTTAACCTGAGAAGTCGAGAACAAATGCCACTCTAGCTGGCAACCGATACTGTTTTGGTTTTCCTAACAATACCAGTTGGAAAGAAAAAAGGATTAATGGTAAAATACGTTTTTAGTAATATTTGCAGAAGGAAAACAAAAACCAGTGTTCCCCTTGGCTCCTCAGAGTTGGCACGCACTGAGAAAAGGGAGTTTGAAAAACAATACCTGTTTTTCTAATTATAGAATACATGACAACCGCAGAGCTGGAACATTTTTCCCCTAATTCTCTTAATTAAAATACACTTTAAATAGGTATTCTTCTGAGAAGCTAGTCTAGAATACTGTATATTTTTAAAATAGTTGAAGCTAATTAATATTTCCCTGTATCATAAAGTGTTCTCCTAAATGGCTTCATGACATTGCATCACTCGTGCCATGATCCCGTCAGCCTTCACTCTTGACATTTAGGGTGTTATTAAACCCGCTGCTGTTGAAGAAGAGTTTTTCTTCTGAAGTCAGTCAAATACTCATTTGTACCAAACACTACTAGGTTTGCGGGATATTGCAGGGAATCAAAAAGAAAAGTCTTTACTACTGTGGAATTCATATCACTACTTGTTTGTAAAAAACGAAATTCTGTAAATGTGCATGTCTAGTTCAAAGGGCATGTACATTTTAAGACCTTGCATTAATGTCTTTAATTGGACAAAGTACTAGATTGCCGTTTTCAATTATCTGGAGGCCTTCTGTATCCCCCCCCCCCAAAAAAAAAAGATTATCCTGTGCAGAATCATCGCCAGTTATTGGAAAGTAGTAGGACACATACTGAGCTCAGTACAAGAACTTCAGTTCAGTATTAGATCCATTTCTAATGGGTCTACAAAGCAGAATATTCCTCGTGACGGGAAGTGTGAGTCAAGTGTGATGATTCCATCCAGCCTGGCATTTGAGTATTTCCCATGGGATGTCATTATTCACACTGCCTTGAATATGGAGAGTACACTTAGTATAATCACTGAGTGATAACAAGGCTAAGTTTGGACACGGACTATGTTTGAATTTAATTTACAATGTTAAGATATCACTATACTCTTCTGTGCAGTTGGCTGGTTTAATTTGCAACTACTTCTAAACTTTGTGTTTCCTAAATAAGATCCAGCAGTTGAGTGTAAGACCCTGCTTCTTGATGGTTTAGATCTCACTGGCTTATTTACTCTGAAGACCAGCTTCTGAATTTACATCAGGGGTGGAGGAGCAGGTAGGGAGGCTTTGCCACATAAGAAGACTGGGCCCCAGAAAGGGACCGCTGGTAGCAGAGAGTAGTCTGTTCAGATGATGCAGAATTAACCTCAGATTTCCCACAAAAGAACAGGAAGCTGAAGTATGCAGTCTGAGGTGGCGGCCAAATATCTCCATTCATTCTAAGGGTGAAAGTCTAAATAGTGACAGCAATGTCTTGGGACTAGGGTGGAAATCAAATTATTAATGGGATACTAACATCAAATTTAGCAGCTGATGTGGAAGGATAAGGGAAGATTTCTATCTAGCTCTGGCCTGCACCCTTATCTTTTAGAGCTCATGGGAGGAAAAGGTCCTCTCAGCAAATTAATGACAAATAATGGCAAACTCTGGACCTGAAAGTTCAACCATTTCCTTGTTCATGTGTGTCCCTATCAAATCTAGACTAAAATGCATATCATCAATTAGGATCATACTAAGATTTTAGAACCTTGCCATTGAAGCCCATAAAGTTATCAAGGAAGTTTTTCTCCCTCACAAATGCTGTATCTGCATTCCACTCACACTTCCTGTCGCGAGGAACCCTCTGCTTTATAGACCCATTAGAAATTATTTCTTACAGTGAACTCAGTATGTGTCCTTACACTTTGCAATAACTGGCGATGCTCCTGCTCAGGAGGATAACGTCTTTACTTTTTTTAATGCAGAAGGCCTCCAGATATTTGAAAATGGCAATGTAGTACTTTGTCCAAGATCTTCTCTTCCGGTCTATTATCTCTCACTTTGCTAACCACTTCTTGGTCACATTCCACCGGGAAGTCTCTAGGAGGTGATTTCCATTAAAGTGTTTTTACACATTGATAAGAACACTTCAGAGCTGATTTTGTCAGTGGCTGAGTTGGAACATAACTTCTGTGAATGTCCCTAACTACAGTGGCAAGAACTATGATGAACACAAAACTAGAGAGAAGGCCATGGAAGCAGAGAAGTTAAAAATGCAACCTCTGGAGTCAGATTTACATTCTCATCTCTTGATTTACCAGCTGTGTGACCATGAAAAGGGTACTGAATCTTTAAAGTGGGTAAAATATCTTCATCAAAAAGTTTTGTGAAAACTGAAAAAAATGAGGCAGTTAAAATAGCTCCTGGAATATAGCAAGGGTTCAATATGTAAGGGATTCTATTAATATTAAGAGTAACTACATTAGAAATGTGTGATACTTTAAGCAATTAAAATTCAGAATATTCAATTACCTTGAAATAGTAGCAATTATCTTACAGTAGTCACAAAAGTTATGTAACTTTTAGTACTAATGCTACGGAATGGAAATAACTAAGCTAGTAAGATTTAATCTAGCTACTTTTGTTGCAAAAAAAAAAACCAACAACCTAGAGGGCAGTGGCCTTTGGCATTGTCTATTTTACAAGCAACTGTATTCACTTACTTTAATCTTAAAAGACTTGATGTTCCGCTTTCCCTGTACCAATGATGAATGAGAAGATTGCCCTATTTGAAATGTCATGTTTATATGAAAAATGTTTTAGTCCCTGTACCTGTTCAATTCATTCCTTATATCCAGCAACTCCTGTCGTTCAGTCTTCACTGTATCTTTTTCCTCAGCAGCCAGGTAACGTAGTCTCATCTGCTCCAATTCTTCTTGCTGCTTTTTAAGACGAGCCATTTGGCTTTCTTGTTCCCTCTTCAAAGAAACAAGTCAGATCTCAAATGCGTGGAGTAAATGTATTTCACGTGACCCTCACAGAATTCTGTTTGACAGCAACCATGATAAAGCCAGGCATTGTTAATTCTATGAGTCACATATTATGTAGAAAAGCCTGGGTTCTCTCTCTTTTTTTTTTTTTGGTGGGACCCTCGCCGGTGGCCGGGGAATGAACCAGCGCTGCAGAGGCTGCGGGCAGCCTTGCAGCCCAGTGCTCAACCGCTGCGCCACCAGGGGAGGCCCAAGCCCAGGTTCTCTTTAAAAACTTTTTTAAGATTTATTTATTTATGAATACAAGAACTGGGGTATAGACCAGAGGTGGAGGGAGGGGGTAAGAAGATTCACCAGAGACAGAGTGGGGAACAGAACAGGCACATTGACTGAAATACACTGCTGAGGGGAGCAGCGGGCAAGTCAGGAGAAGTCTGCCGCGCCATGTGGGTTGCTCCCTGGCCAGCCGGGGATCGAACTCGTGCTGCAGTGGCTACGGATAGCTTCCTAGGTTGCGTCTTAACCCCCTGTGCCACCAGGGAGGGCCCCCCTCTTTAAAAACTCTATTACTTCCTCATTATAAGCTACAAGTACTCATGGCCCAATGAGTGACTGACTGATGGCAAGAGTCAGCTGTCAACAATAGGAGTTCACTCAAGAACCAGTGGGAAGAGCAGCCACGAAGAAATGGTTAATCGTACAAAGATGTACAAAGAGAATTTTAATATTTGTCCTTGCTGTGGTCATTAATCCAACTCTTACCTCAGGTACTAATGTCTTCCCACTCTTTTCTCTGGGTTCATAAAAAAAATCTGCACATAAAACTTCTTTAAAATGTGACGTTTCACAGAACATTCTGTGATGTATTCACCACTCTTAAGAACAGGCAAGTTGGGCCCCACACGGAATGCCGTGGTCCACCTATCCTCTAACAGCCTAAGTCCCCCAAGCTTTGTACATATTTCCCTAGGGATAGGTGCTCTTCATTCTTTAGGACAGACCGTCACAAGGGGATAGCTGGGTCAATAGGTACGTGTCATCTTTTTGAAACTAAACATTTCTTAAATAACACAAAAATCACAAGTGTACATTTTGATAAGGTTTTACAAAGTGAACTACTCACATAACCACCATTCAGATTAAGAAGCCAAAGATTTTCAGAACCCCAGAAGTCTGTTACCTACCAGTAACTAACCACTGTGTCTATTCCAGAAATAACTATTTCCCTGATTTCTAACTCTGCAAATAAGTTTTGACTCTTTGGAACTTCATGTAAACCGTACTGGACAGCACGCATTACTCTGTCAGGCTGCTTTCATGACATTTTCAGGTTCGTACAATGTGTAGCTGATGACTCATTTGACTATCTGGCATTTCATTGACTAAAGTACAATTCATTGCACTGCTGAGGGACATTTGGGTTAGTTTCCACTTTGGTATTTTGAAGCTGATGTGAACATTCATGTATATGTCCTTTGGCACATATTTGCAGGCGTTTCTACTGGGTATATACTAAGAATTCACACTGCTGCTCATAGGGCACTAGTGCATCTGTAAATATTAGGGTCCTTTGCTGTTCATTTTCAGTTGGCTAAGAATTATGACTAGGTATTGGAATCTAGTGATATGATCACCTGATTTGTTTTGCTCTTTTATTCTCTCAAGGTGGAAAAAATATTCCTTTACCTTTGTTTGCAGATATCTATGTTCAAGAGACAGATTGGCCAATTTCATTCTTATAAGTCTTGTCATATTTTAGGATCAAGGTTATACTGGCTTGATTTAAAACTGTGAGAAGAGTTTTTTGCTCTCAGTTTCAAGACCAGGTTGTATGAAATTAGATTAATGTTTTTTCCTAAAACATTTTCTAAAAATCCCAAGTTGAAGTCATTATATGTAGAGCATTTACATGTCTCTGGGATCTGTAGTTCTGAGCCCCACCCTCTGCCCTCCTTTAATACCTGACACTGAGTCTGCACCTGTACTCTTTTGTCCTTGAATAGGCTTTGACAAGATCTGGGGGGGGGGGAGAGGGGAGTGGTTCCTTTTGAAACAAACTTTTGGAGTCTTTATTTTCCTACTTCATGCATTTCTATTCATTTTGACTATTTCCTTTCCATTTTCTGCTTTTCTAGTTGAAAGGGATATTTAGAGGATAGATTTTATACTTACTTTCTAAGCATACTTGAGGCTATACATTTCCATTAAGCACAGCTTTAAGTATATGCTGTGATATGTTCACTGTTTTCAGTTCAAAATATTTATTTCACTTATCGTGGTCAGAGAACATATTCTGTGTTCCCTGTACTAAAAAAAATAACTACAAACACTGTGATGTGATTATTGTTTTCCTACAATCGACATCTACTTATATTTACTCCTATTTCCTTCTATTGCTCCATTTTCTCATGATTTCATTTGTGGTCATTTTCCCTTTGACTGAAAAACACCTTGAAGTATTCATTCAACTTCTGGTTTGCCACCGGAAATCCTCCCAACTTTTGTAAACCTGAAAAGTCTCATGTCACTTGCATTTAAGGAGAACATTTTCACTGGATATAGCATTTTACGTTGTTAACCTTCTTAGTAGAATAACATCCTTAAGTTATTATTTCAAGAATTACTTCACTCTCGAAACACAACTCTGCAGCCTTTAATGTTTCCTTTGTATTTTTTGATAATTTTAGTATACTATGTATCTACCTATGGTTTCTATTTATCCTGTTTATAGTTCATTGAATCTGGGAAATACATCTTTTTCACTTTTATAAAATTTTCAGTCAGTACATGTTCAAATAATGCTTTCTTCCCTACACTGTTTTCTCTTGAGCAGTTGTCATAGGCTGAATGTTTTATCTCTTGAAAACTTACGTTACAGCCAAAGAAAGTCCCAGTGTGATGGTGGTAGGAGGTAGGCCCGTCCTTTGGGAGGTGATTACATCATAAGGGCAAGTCCTATGAATGGGATTAAAGTGTCCTTCTGTAAGCGGCCTGACAGAGCTCTGTAGCCCCTTCTGCCACTTGAGGGCAGAGCAAAAAGACGGCCGTTTAATATGTGAAGCAGGGTGACAGGAGACACATAACGTGACCACGCGTGCACCCTGATCTTAAGACTTCCAGTCTCCCCAACAGTGAGAAGCACAATTTTGGTTGATAAATCACCCAGTCTGTGGTACTTTGTTACAGCAACCCAGATGAACTAAGACAGGTATTATTACACAAAAGGTAGTCAGTGTAGTTCAGCTACTGAATTCTTAAATTTCAGCTTCAGAACTTCTACACAGTTCAAAAGACTCCATGGCTTTAATACATTTCTTTCACTATCAGATAACCACTTCTAGAACATAGTGACAGTAGTTATATCAAAGTTTGTGAGTGATATCTTCAAAATCTAAAAAGCCTAATTTATTCCTATTAAGCCAAAGACATAAAAAGGCACAGATAAGACCTGCAAGTGACAATAAACACCAAAATATGCTTCGTCAGTAGTAGAGAACAACCACTCTGGAAAGTGTTTTGGCAATATTTAGTGAAACTGAAGAAATGGGCAACCCTACCACTAAGATATAATAGCTATAAACTCTTATGTGCCTTACACATACAAAATAAGACAGCTGGGAAAGGCATGTCCACTAGAGGATTAAATAAATTAATTTTGGTACATACATTATGTCTAAGTTTTAAAAAGCAACAAAGATGAATTCTATGTAGTTGCATCAAAACAGCTAAAATCTCAAGTAATTGAGTCAGAAGAACAAAGAAAGATTCCATATACATAAGGTTAAGAAACACATCAATTAAAGTGTTTATCAGTAAACAAATTAATAACAAATATCAGGATGAGAAAGTAGCTTCCTCTGGACAGGATGCAGCTGAGAAAAGGCACTCACAGAGGACTTCCAAAGAAACGACAGTACTCTTACGTAGTCCAGCCCCCACCTTTCAGTTTATGAAAGAATAGTCTGTTGTTGCTTTGAAATATCTCATTTTACACCTAGTCAATTATTTGATTTTAGGTTACTTGGTGAAATAGAACATTTAAGAAAGATGAAGTATTTCAGCTCTAAAACATCAGAAAACCCCTTCGATGCCTTGCATTTTTAACCAAGTATCCAGCATTAATAATAATCACATGCACACACAAAACTAGAGGCTAGTGAAAGACATCCTCTCTGCTGCCAGGTGCTCTGGGTTAAAGGCTCCTTAATCAAGTGAGTATAATCTTTATTTTGCCTTGGCTGCCTATAAATCCAGAGAGGAGATGTAAACACACATATACTAGACTAAACAATGGCTAAAAAGTGGCCACAACTTACTCTCCCACTCACACACACCATGGAAGTCTGTGGGAACAAACTTATAAGGAACTCAAGTAAAGTTTTCTGAAAATAACCCAGAGCTGACAAGTCAGTAGGAGGGCCTGGATGGTTTCAAGACACAGTTTTTAACCAAGACTTGGACCTCCAACTGTTTTCTTAAACAAAGATTTACATCCCATCCTTGGCTAAATTACTTATAAATTAATCAAATTAATTACTCTGAGTGGATAAGCAGGAGGCTGGACAAGATAGTGTTGATGTCAGCCAATGAAGTCTGTGTTGTTTTAACTAAATATATCAGCTTAGTTTTAAACAGCTCTACTGTGCACAAATATGGTAAGGGACCCACATCCTACCCAAAATCTTAGTTCTGTTTTCTGTCCTGGGAACATGCATACCTAGTTTTAATATATGTGACATAGTAAAAGTGTGAAAATTTCTACGACAAATGTATGCTTTTTTTTTTTAGTGATGATTCATTTATTTTTAAAAAGCAGTGGCTCTCTTCCTACTCTCAGTTGTCAAGAAATGTTGTTTAGAATAGCAGGAGCAAAGCGGCAATCTTAATTGCCCCTTAAATGTCTAACAACTAGAACTTTATAAAGTCAGTGTTAGGCATTGTACCAATGATACCAAATCCCAAATGTATGGCTATCGCTTCCCAGTGTTCTAAGCTAGGGCCCATTTTTGTGTGACGCTTAACTTGTTTTATAATTGGGTAGGCGACAGTTATAAAATAACAAAATGTTTACAACTGGAAAACACAGACTTTTATGGTTGTGAATCAGAAGAAAAGAGTTTTTCCTAACTAATTAGAAGATTATGATTTTTAATTCACAAATTGACTGTACTAGGTCACCTTTGAGTAATGGAAATCTCTGTTTAAACATTCTTCTGGCAATAGGCACCAAGCATTAGATCTTATTTCCAAGCTTCACCAGCTGGGTTTTGTCATTAACATTTATTAACAATCTAAGATACGGCTTTTGCAGTTTAATCCCTACTACACAAATGTTTTGTATGGCCCTCCAGAGGGTTTTGCTGTGACAAATTACTGGCAGAGATTATAGCCCCGTGGCTATTCACCAGAGGCAATGTAAAATTAACATGGTACTAATCCAATTTAAACAAGAAGTTGCACAAACAATCCTCTGAACAAAAGTAGATAGAGCATTCCAATTTTATATTCAAACACAATAAATGTGTTTTTAATAAAAAGTGGTAGAAGAAACTGAATTTTTACACATATGAATTGTGCCAATTTGATGAAGTTAATTTTAATCTTCCGAAAGCCATCACAGAGCACAATTCGCTGTGGTGATCCCAAGGTCTATTATATTACCTCTTGAAGTGTTGCATCTCAAATGTGGTCTGTAGAACATCAATGATTCCCAGTGACCTTGAAATTTGTTTACAGTGTTTCTAAAGCAGAAAGTTTGTGGGATAAGGAATAAAATTGGTCTACAATGAGAAAGCAAGGATCACTGAACTCATAATGATTTTTGAGCAAGAGGATACAAAATACAAAGAAAGGGTAAACAGAAAATGATGGATTAAAGGGAAGGAGCTAAAAAACAGCCACAGTGTCCCAAGATGCCTGTGTTAGGAAGGCAGGGTCCTTGGGTGGCAGCATTTTGCACTGAATCTACTTTTAAAGAAGACCACCCTAGTATCTCACTAATAACTGTGAACTTGGAGGGTTCTTTCTGTTCAGCACATTGTTTGTTTTAAAAATCACCTCAAAATGAAAACAACTGTCACCTGCCAATATACACATATGATTATAAGTTAAAGATCAACTTACTCAAAAAAGTTCTTGCATGGAGACTTGTAAGAAGCACAGCAAGTATAATATTACTTACTTCTCCAAAGGCAAAGTCCTAATCAACAGCTAGCACTTTTCTCTTTTTATTACTGATTTTGATAATGCATTAAAATGAATACCAACAGCATTAGCCCCTCTCCTGCACCATACGCCTTCTTCAGTGGCAGCACTCTCTTCTGCTTCCCCATCTACTCTCTGTTCCTTCCAGTCTTCCTTCTTCTTAAATGTGATCATCAAGGCTCTGGCAGAGAGAATTCTTACCTCTGCAAAGGGTTCCTTCATTTGTGTTTTTAAGGCCAACCTCAGATCCATATTTCTAATTGTTTACTCAATTTCTTACGATAACAGTACTATCGATACTGGCAACTTTCCAGACACGGAAGCGTGAACCCTTGGCATCATCTCTGCTGTTCTAGCCTGATGTTCCAATCAGGTGTATAGTGCTCCATAGAATCTACCAAAAGCATATGTCTTTTAAAACACTCTCCTTGTCAGGTTCCAGTTTCTTCCACTAAGCAAGAAGTTACAAACAGTAAGTTCTTATCCTTATCACCTGAATTGACCTCTAAAATGGGCCCTCCTTTGGTCTCCCAGCAAAGTCTGTGATTCCTGAGCTCCTACCGCTTTGCTATAATCATGCTATTCATTATGTTTCCATTTCCCCCACTGCTTTCCTAAATCATAACCAGTTCTCCAGAGAACCATCTCACATACCTCCTCATCCTATGATACATGTACTCTCCCTTCCCTCCACAGAACTGTTTGTTTTCAGGGTTCTTATGATTAGTCAGGGAAGAAATAACCATAAATGTAATATTTACTGTTTCTAAAGTGCAAGCTCCCTGAGGGAAAGGTCTCTGTTCTGCTTATAACTATAAATCTAGGGCAATGTGTTGGATATAGGAGGCCCTCAGTACTATATGATTTTCACTCATTTATCCTTAGTCCTGTATGCATGTATAAAATGTTCTTTATGTAACATTATTCTACATACACTTAGAACAAGCTGAAATTTTTAGTTGTATTAAGGCAACTATAGTACTTTTTACTTCTCAGTCTAGTACATACTTCATAATGAAGGTGGTAAACATATAGTATACCACACCACAAAAAAAAAGTTTAATAGTATTTGAGAGTTACAGAGACACTTTAAGAAAAATAGAAATTTGAAATACCCTATGTGCCAAATTTCATTCAGGCTAAAGCCGGTAAAGTAATCTTAACTTTATTTTGAATCTAATCTCTCATTAACACTGTTTGTTATGTTGTGGCAGGAAAGAGGGAAAAAAGAACAATCTGGTAAACTATCACTTTTAAATGCTTGTAAAATTATGCAAAAATTTCCTGTGATTTCTTTTCTTAATGGTTTTTAAATTTCAGGACAAGTTAATTTTTTAAGTTATCCCTAGATTTCTCCCCAGAAACATAATCCCAATGAAAAAAAATTTAATATTCAGGAAAAAGGTAGTATAGTAAATAAAATAAATTATTCTTAATTTCCTCAGAGGAAGAGGATAGTAGGCAATTAGAAAAGGTGGGGGGGGGGGCCTAGAAGTTTTTATGAAATAAGAGAATCTTCCCTAATCTCAAATATACAGCACATGAAGATTCAAATGCAGCCATGTGAACATAACAGTTATTGCCAAATATGCAAACTTATAAAGAATCAAGTGGAAAAGATAGGATAATCCATCATTAGCTATTTACTACATACCTGCTTAAGTCTGGCAAGTTCTTTCAAAGCTCGTCCCCACTGCTGCTTGTAATGTAGTTTAGACTTAGTTGCAGATTCCAACTTTCTTTCAAGTTCAACCTAACAGTGATTAAAATCATATCAAGTGAAACACTATACCACTGTGTACAATCACTGAAAGATAATATATACAAAGAGTCTGGCTTAAGAAAAGAGTTTATGTAGTGTAACGTACGACATCATCTAAAGCTGTTACATAATTTACTATAAATATTATGGCACATGAACATTTTCTTGTTTAAAATATAGTTGTATTTTTATTGCCTAACAGTCTATACGAAAGAGAACTGTATTAGTCTTAAACCTCCAGACAGTTACTATAAATGTATCTAAAACCTGTATATTACATAAAGATCAGAGTGGAAAATACATTTTTTACAAAAAACAGTTCTAACAGCATTCCAATTTAGCTAACAGTCTAAGTCTTAGAAACCAAATTGTTCTTTCTGGAGGCCTATCATTATGTTGAATTTTCTCTTCGAGTGAAGCAAGCTAGCAGGGATACTTTCATGACCATATTTTGGCAAAAATCATAGAATGCTGAAAATAGTGAAATGTTTTATCAGAAAGCACTTTACGAAGAGAGTACAAAGTCAGAAATATTTTAAGAATGTGAAAGTAAACCCAAGAATAAGAAAAATAATGCTCCTTAATAACACTCATCTAACTTTTATTTTCCATTATTCGTCAAATATATAAAGAAAAACAACAAAGTGGTTCAATTAAAAAAAAATAAGGTTATTTATACTTGCAGCAGGCAATCTGTTGTGCATGAACTCCAGCCAACTTGGCTATGATTAGGAATGTACTCTCTCAATGCTTCAAACAAAGGACCAAACAAATTCATGCAGCCAACAGATAGATTTACTATTTAAGTGATAATGTAATAATGTGCAAGAGTTACAGTAAAATGCTGTTTTCTAAACTGCTCTAATTGATATTAAAAAAAAAGCCATTTTCCCCATACACACAATTCCTAATGTTTTGCAGGAAAATAAAAGCAACAACACAACATAAAAATTCAAACTTGAGAAAACTCATATGAAAATAAAATGAAGAGCAAATTGCCAAATTTCCTTCACACAAGGACCAGAACATTCTCTACAGTAATATATGAGTTCATGAAGTCAAGGTCTTTGTGCTTTATAAATCCCTAGTGCCTGGATTTAAATGTGTTGACATTTCACAGCTAGACTCATATGTCTTAAATTGAATAATACTCAGATTATCAAAGACGATCTCTTCCACTTACACCCCAAAGATTGATACATGTTACTTGGTATTTTAACAATGGGACATATATCAGAGGAATAGCAAAAATCTCTTTATAGCTATGAGATGAAAGACTAGTATTCATTACAAAAGCAATCAATGTCTAGAGGTCTGGGATAGGCCCAGAGACAAGGACTAGACAGGGATGAATCTGAGATTGTTCATACACAATGGACAGAGTCCATCAGAAAAACCTGTTTGGGTAAGTTAGATTAGTTTTAGCATGACTATGAAAATAATGCACACGTGCATAGTTACGCACACTTAATTTAAAACATCTATAGTCAGTAATAAATAAAAAAAAAACTGTAGTCAGCAAATCTGAGACATAAACCTCACTGTCTTAATTCATTCCTATAACCAAATCACTATTTCCTAAATTGTTGGGTTTTTTTTTTTTTTTTTTTTTTTTAAAGCACACAGATGCCTCTGTGATTCGAAAGAAATATACGGACCCAATTCTCAGGAAAAAAAACACACAGCAAAATTTTGACATAATTTCAGGACATTAAAGGACTCTGGGTGAACAGAGTCCTTACTGTGAGTAGACCTGAAACTTCTCTACTAGAAAATGGCATTGTCTTGGTCTCTAGTCCCTTCTCCCAGAGCTAATCTGCAACAAAGAACTGTTACCTTACTGTGGGATCTTGTCATCGTGGCCTCAAATTTGTTCTGTCTACAAATCCTATAAACCATTTGAGCAGTTCACTCTATTTCCTTACTGTACAGTGTAGAGGCTGACTGTTGCCTAGGCTTCAAGCTACTGAAAAATATAGTATGCATAGTCTGCATCCTCCTTGTTTAGTGTACAAATGATTTCTTTGTCCTGATTTGGCACAGTTTCTAGTACATTCCCTAGCATATGATTATACAGTCATTTACGACACTACAGTACCCCTCGATTACATTACCGACCCTTTAAAAAGTAAGGTTCACCAAAGGATAATGAACTCTTTCTCTTGTTATCATTTCTTTGTCTCATTTTCCCCTAATGTAAGCATGGGCACATGGTCATACTCAAATAATTACATAAATTTTAGCTTGTCTTTTCAATCTCTGTATGTTCTACTAAATTCTGTTTCCCTAATTTTGCTTTCAAAAGTCCCAGTTATTTTTATACTCTCTAAAAGGTATTTCCTGGCTACAAGAAAATCAAAAGCTATCACTAATTTTTTTCATAAAAGGGAATCCAGAACTACATTTAACCAAAGTATGGCTTAATGTTAACTTAATTTTAGACTGTTGCAGTGAAAACGGGAATAATTGTTACTTGAAGGGAGCAGGCCATCAGAAATGAAAAAAGCTCTCATTTTGTAGTTGAGAAATAAGATTCTGCCCTCTTCTGGCTCCCCAAACATTTACAAAGAACTTTTAAAAGAGAAGGCTCATTTTACTAACACTAAAACATGCTGGCTAAATCCATTAGGTCTGCGAGTTCATTTATCCTTAGTTTGGAATTTTCTCACCTCTTATCTTGACTTCAAACCTGTTCTATCTACAACCAGTACAGCCTAAAGACTGGACTCTTTATGGCTTTTGATTTTCTCTTTCAACAATTTCATAGTAGTACTGATACTTTCCATGCTTAGTGAATTTTATTCTTTTGGTAGAAGTGCAGATGGAAGAGGAAGGAATTTATAATCATGAATTTTTTCCTATGGGGTTATTTATATTATAGGCTACACTATTTAAGAGAGCTTGTGAGAGTCAAGATATTGTCTGATGAGTGCTCCAAAAATTTCTGGCAGGTATCACAGAACTCATTTACAAACACAGAAATACCATCTATCTGGACTCAAGTTTGCTGGTAGAGAAAGGATGATATTGTCCAGACATGGAAGACTCAGAATCAGCAAGCCCTTGCAATTAGATAGAATGGAGGACAAGATGAGGAACACAAGACAGCATGGCAGTTGACAGGCTGCAGAAACTGTGAGGCAAACACTGCAAGAAATCAGGTGCAGGAGAGATGATTTTATTAGCTTTTTACATTTCTGAGATATGCCATTCTTAGGCGTGTACGGTACTCTTCTGGAGATTTTATCTGTATCACAGTACAGCAGACCGAATGCTTCTAGTAGAATTCAGCAGTCTACTAACCCAGATATTAGAGATCTGCAGAAAAGTAAAACAATGACACTCTCCTTGCAATTTTTGTTTTACAAAATAACTCACTTAAAAAGTATGCTTATCTCAAAAATGAATTAATAGGTACTTAAAAATATTTCCAGTTTTAAATTCTAATACAGCAATAGCAAATAGTTATAAAGTACTTTTAAGAATGTGAAGGCATCCTGAGTCAAAAAAGAGTGACAACTCCTGAGACATTCACGAAAAGATAGTGAATAAATAGTTGACTATATGGGCCTTCAGCTGAAGAGACAGGACTTGTCTCTATACACATCTCATACACACTAGCTGAATGGTTTGGTTTTGTTTTTTAATGTAAAGATGTTATTCTTCCAATTATGTTCCCAGATTTGGTGCTAAGCCCTTAACAGATGAAATATGCTGATATTTGTAATCAACTGTATAATTCCCATTTAAAAGACATGGAAATAGGTAGAAGCAAAGAAAGTTGCCCAAGGCAACAGGCTAGTCAGTGGAAGAATCAGGATTCAAACCAAGGTGAAAAGGTTCCAGTGTCCAAAGCTCTAGGTCTGTCTTGCCATGTTCTGATTACTATTCTACTGTGACCTTTCCACAAAGGTGAACTTCAAAATCTGGTTTAGTCACACACACTATTCTTCACAACCACCTAGTCTGCTCACTTGTACGTACTCTTCACTATCATCTTTGAGTTCCAGAGTTAGAGGTTTTCAAGTTTTGGTTTTTTTTAAAGATTTACTTATCTCTATACAAGAACCGGGGTACAGGCCAGAGGTGCGGGAGGGTGAGAGGAGTCACCAGAGACAGAGTGGGGAACAGAACAGGCAGACGGATGAGATAACTGCTGAGGGGAGCAGCGGGCGAGACAGGAGGCCTGTCCCGCCACGTGGGACTCTCCCTGACCAGCCCGGAATCAAACTGGCGCTGCAGAGGCTGCAGACAGCTTCACAGCGCTGCGCTCAACCTGCTGTGCCACCGGGGAGGCCCTATTTTTTGGTTTCTAAATGGTGGTGGTGGCGGCAGGAAAAAGCTTTCTCAAGATGTAGCTGTCTCAAGAAGGAAGCAGAAGCCAATAAAAGCACAAGTGCTCTGATTGACAGAGTAGGTGACAGGTTCTAGAATACAATCTGACACAGTGATCCTCAGAGGGGCTATGAACCCAAGTTTGAAAACCGCCATTCTTGAATACGTTCCCCACTTTCCTTGATAATTTTAGTGCTAGGTTCGCACTTCTCACTATCTAGGCTCGTCTCCCAGATCTTAAAATCTAGCTCATCCCCTTCATGATCTGACCTTTTATCTTTGCCTTTATACACTTTTAGTTTCAGTAACCTCTGTGGTCCTTGATCTTTGTCCTGTCCTACTCCCAACACAGACCAAGTATTATTTCAAATGCGGCCCTTCTCCAAGCTTAGATTCTTTGGTTTTCATTGTACCAGTCTCTAAGCCCAGGGCACCTTTGCCAGCTTGTATTCACTGGGGAAAGGAAAGAAACTATTCTAAACTTTGTTAGAACGGGACTGATAAAATTTTTTTCATAAATACGTAATTAACCTCAACTGCAATCCTTTTTCCATCAATAATGCTGAAGAATTCCCCTTGGCAGTTGCTACAGTCACTTCCACAATGAACACTGGTCAGCACTCAACTTTACCTCTACTTCCTTCACCTTAGCAAATAGTCGGGTATGATCAAAGCCCTCTAACTCCTGGCTCTTAGCAGAGATCTTAAAAGGGCCTTATAGTTTTAACTAATTTTTTTAGCATTCGAATCTTCTGTCCATTCACCCTTTGAAAGAAGTAACACTGTTTAAAGACTAACTCTTCTATCTATGCTCCAGCCATCCCCTCATCTTAGAGCTAGTTTCTCTTTGGTATCAATCTCTTACCCTCAATCTAAAAGTACTCTCAAATTTTCCTACACTAAATACACTTTTCTCAACAGTAGGCTGTTGGCCTTTGTTTTTCTTTATTTTGTATGCCAAATTTTCTCTAGCACTCTGTAATTTGACTTCTTCAAAGTCAGTAACTTCTTAACTGCCAAACACAAGACTTTTCCCTCATGAGATTATTTTTGCTTCCTCATTCTGGAAACTCCTCTCTTTTTGGGCACTGACTGCACTAGACTGGCTTTATTTCTTCTTTAAATCTTCTTAGCCTCCTTGCCTTACTTTTTTGTCCATGAAGCTGAACGTTCCCTCAAATTTTCTCAACCTTAGCTACTTCTCCACTTAGATTACTTGGCTAGCATGACAAATGTAATGTCTAAAATCACAGTTCTCAACTTCCACCGATCCAAAAAGTTCTTCTCAAAAATCTTCATTTCCATTAACAGCACTAAGTCAATCATAAGCTTGGGAGTCATCTCTGACTTTTCCTACCAGATGAAATACAAATTGTTTAACTTAGTTTCTAAGGTCTTTTCCCCCTATACTTCTGTACAATATTTCGGAACATCCTCATCCACATATTTATCTGTTTAAAGTTTAACTCATAGGTTTCATATTTAATCTCACTTCATTATAGTTAATGTGCACATTTCAGTAGAAGCAACTGCTATCATTTTGCTTTCACTATAATTATTTGGGCAAATTCCTTGTCTCCTTTTGTAACTTGCTATTTACTTGACTCTATACTGAACAGTTTTTAATCATTCATAATGCATTTAGCATTGTATCATAAATAGCACACACTATTGCAGAGAATGAAAAATTCACTGGATCAATCACCATCCTGCCAGGACACCCGAAATCACTCTGGGTCTTTCAAATAGAGGTAATTTAATACCGGAAGCTGGTTATACAGAAATTGGAAGAGCAGAAATATTAAAGAGGATATGGTAAGACAACGCAGTCATTGGCAGGAGTGGGAAGCCCCTACCTTTGCAATGCAGGAGAAACTATAAAAAGAAGGACCAGGAAGTTTAGTGGTAACTGACAAGGAACCCAGAACTAGGATTGCCTAGTGAGCTACAACTACAGTGAAGATTGCTGGAAGGAGAGCCACAGAAAATAAGGGTAAGCAGCGAAGGAAGAAATATCCAGTCAACTTCCCAAATGCAATGTACCACTTTTCTGATAGTGCCCCCTACTAATTGCATCTACAGAAGAGAAAAGGCAAGGAGACCTTCAGTGGGATAAGGCAGGCAATGGCAGACACAATTTTATTGTCTAGAAACTATCAAAGCATAAAACACAAGAGCACTTACTATGAAACTTAAGTTGTTATTCTGAGTATTACACCTTTTCAATGCCTAGACCCTAAACATTATTTTTGTTTGTGGGACTCCCCATGTAATGAGAGGCAGGACTGGCTTTCCACCATGAAAAATGAAAGGAAGGCTGAGTGTAGGCCTATGATTTCATGAATGCTTCTGTCTGGAACATTGAGTCTAAAACACAGTAATATGCAGAGAGAGAATTCAAAATGGCTTCTGCAAAGCTGAGTTCCACAGTACGACACCAGAGTCGGGAGCCCTGAATCAAGCACCATGGCAGTGACAGCACCATCGGTACCAAGGAGCAGACACTTCTATGACAGTCCAGGCCATCCCTTGCTTCCCTCAGTTCCTTCCCTCATCTGTGAATTCCTTTCCTCCTACTTAGTTCCTCTGTTTGCAACCAACGACTCTGGTAAGCTGTAACTGACATAAGCGTATGTCTTGAGCCTCTGATGTGTTCTTATTTGAGTTTAGAATGCTAGAGTGATGTTATGACACTGCATATGCACATATCATTTGATTTTATAAAGTGATCATTTGGACAAATCATGTTACCAAAAATTGACATTGGTACCTTTTCCAAGGTGAGAAGATTTATTTCAGACTGTAGACGGATTTCTGGTTTGTTGTTTTGTTGATCCTTGAATTGATGGAATTCCTTCTCCAAAATTTTATACTTATTTTCAGCATCATTAAGCTGTATTAACATAAAAAGGCATTATAGCTATATGATAAAAACAATATGCAAAGTTTAATATTAGGAAATAAATGTCACTGTTAAACTAAATTCTCTAAGACATGTTCACAGTAGGAAATTTAGAAACTAGGAGAATTATTACTAACCTGAGTAAATTTATTTAATTAGCAATCTAAAAATCTACTAAATCAACTGATTAAAAAGATTAAACTTTTTAAAACAAACAAAAAAGTTTGAATCTTATGAACAAGGATGTAAGAAATTTATATTTGCTATTTATTCATATATATTTTACAAGTGTCATGAAAACATTTTCATTCAGTAGCAAATGAAAAAGTCACCCTAAAAAATAGTGATACTTTATTACATATGACATGTCAAGTATAAACAACTGAGCATTACAGATAGGCCTGATATGACTGTTTTCATCCCTCACCTAAGTGTAACTTTAATGTATTATCTATTGGCCTTATAATTTGATACCATATGAATTTCACAATCTACATAGCACTATAACTATGTAGTGCACTACATAGCACTACAACTACATAGCACCATAGCACAATCTACATAGCACTACAAGCTATTTTAAAGATTATTTGGCCAACTCCTGCATGTTTATCAGAGAGATTCTCAATGGAGAGTTACCTAAAATATAGTGCAGTCTCAAGCACTATAATTGTAAGGGAAGGAAAGTGAATGTAGTCCTTACCCGGAAATTAGGAAAAGAACATGTAACTAACTTAACAGAAACAGTTCTTTAAAAACCCTTAATTTCCAGAATACAAATAAACTCACTCAGTGTAAAGGTATACAAGGTACTTGATCCAACCTGTTGCTGAAGTCGGTGTTTATCCTCCTCTAGCTGCTTGATCTTCAGTCTCTCTAGTTCTACCTGGTGAGTGCAATCTTCTCTGGCCCTCCGGATGGAGTCCTGAAGCTCCTGCAGGTTCCGCTCACGTTCGGACTTCAGTTCCTTTCGTTCTCTTTGAAGCTTAAAACAAGTGCATCTTTAAGAGCCTGGCTTGTTACCAGCTGCACTGTACTGTTCAATAGCATCATCTATAGTAAAATGTCCAGAATTCATATCCTTTGTGGTATTAATATTTCACGTTTAGTTACTGAAAAGACTGAAATTACATCAACGTCCAAATTTCTTCTTTAGAAACATCTTTAATTAGTCTTAGTATTGGGAACAAGTATTCATTATATGACAAAATTTTTATAGATTTTCTAAGATTTCTCGATCAGTTTAGTTGCTAAAAGGTAAAATTAGGGTGCTATGCTAAGACAATTTTAAGAAGCATAAATTTAGGATTCTAGAAGAAAATATTTTGAAACAGCCTTTACAGAAATCTAAGTATTTTGGTGAGTAAAATTTAGTAAGACCTGACAGATCAAAACTAGCAATACTATTAACCTAATTTTTCCTCTGTTCCTGGGATCTGACCTTTAATGGATCAGGAAGAGGGATAATCACCTTCTTCCTGAAAACAAAATAAGACTCCTAGGCTCCTGAACGTGGGCTACATTTCCTTTCTTCTCTAGGTGCAATTATCCATTCCCTCATATAACGGTACAGTTAAGCAAAAATCTCCACTATTGCTAAAGTCAGTTAAAGGTGGCTGAGTAACAGTGAAGCATTTCAGGTAATGAAGAATATTCTCCAATTTTTCATATTCTAACATGGACGATATGCTTTTATCACTTGAAGAGCAGTTTTCTCCAAAATGTCTGAAAGGCAATTTCCATGAACTGTGCAAAATAAAGCTAAATGCCACATGAATACAGTACCTCTGATTCCGCACTGGCAAGCTGCTGCTCGCGCTTCTCTAAGTCAATCAGGGTTTTTTGAAGCTTTCCTTCTAGAATCGTATATTCAGTCACCTAAAATACAATAGGTTACTTTCTCCCAAATTCAAAATGGCAAATATTATTTTACTGAAACAGGAGCTGAGAAGAGGAAAAGCATGAATTAGATCTACCAATGCAAACCAGAAATCCTTTCATTGTACTTTAAGGCAGGAGGCCCAGCCAGCTTCTGCTTGGATATCTTTAGTGGCATTCAGTCTCCAGACTGCTTCTGCAGCCAGAATCCCTGCTTGGCGCCTAGCCCAGCCCCCCAATTTTTATAGGCATAAAGGCCTGCCCTGCTCTGTTCTTACAAATTGAGTCCCATTCAGGATAAGTGCTCTTACCTGCTCACCACATACTTTGGCTTCTATCTTTTACATCCCGACTGATCATTCTTTTTTTTTTTTTTTTTTTTTTTTTTAATAGAGGCATGCTTTATTTATTTGTTTGCTGGTTTGTTTGTTTGTTTTGTTTATACATGCACTGGGTACAGTCAGAAGCGCGGGAGGGCGAGAGAATTCACCAGAGCCAGAGCAGGGAGCAGAACAGACAGAAGGACCAAAGTACACTGCTGAGGGGAGCAGCGGGCGGCAGGAGAGGTCTGCGCACCATGTGGGACCCTCCTCTGGTGGCCGGGGAGCAGCTGGGGATCGAACCGGCGCCGCAGAGGCCGCGCGCAGCTTCGCAACCCAGCGCTCAACCGCTGCGCCACCGGGGAGGCCCAGCGACTGATCATTCTTAATAGGACTTTCTGAACCAATTTCTCCGTCCTTGTCACCAGCTGGTTTCTAGATCCCAAGACCCATCCTGATCTCTTTACTCCTGTCAAAAAAGTCCTGGTTTCATGTTTTTTAGAAACCCAACCTTTAATCTTGTTTCTACCTCTTTTTTCTTATCCAAGATAAACAAAAGTTTCAACTTATATATTATTTCCATATTGCGAATATCTTAGTCTAGAATCTAGACTGCAGATTAAATCCAAGTTCCTTCAAAAGAGTGGTAACCAGATGTGATTTCACTTAGTATAAAAAGTACATTTATGTTTGGGGAGCCTAGTCACATTGTTAATGTTAAGGCAAATCACCAAGGTTTTTGATTACATATAGTAAATATGTAATTATACCCATTGTACAAGTGGTTGTTTTAGTCTGTAGAAATTGCCATTTGCCCTAGTTAAACTTTGATGACTTAGGCATAGCATACCAAATAATCATTTATATACTCTGTTAACTCTAACACCTTCTACTGGTTCATCTACAAAAACGTGTTATGCATGCCTTCCATTTTTAACTAAATCACTAATAATTGCCAAATCCTGAGTGTCACACATCAAAAGACTTATGAAAACAGAAAGTGAACACTGGTCTTCGCGAGGTTTGGCTTCGGATGCCATCTCCTCACGTACTACATAACCTCCTTGTGTGAGCTCATGTACCATACACCAAGAACTGTCAGGTTTATAAAGCAAAGTCAAACTTCCTCTCAAGTTTTCAGATATCTACACCCAAATAGCTGAGGAACATGCCAGTGTTCCCCATTTAGCTCAAACTCAAAAATGTATAAGTACCTGAAATCATAATCCTTTTAACTTTAATATTTGTTGCGTACCTACCAAACATGGGGCAAAACACAAAGTCCTATGACACCTACATTATGAGGGAAAACATATAAGTGGATATTTGATGCAATAATAGGCAAATGCCATAAAGAAAAAGCAAGATGAGTGAATAGTAAGCGCATGGGGACAGGGGGAGCTGTCACTGTTTGGGATATGGTGGTTCTAGAAGGCCTCAATCAAGTCACTTAGGGCAGAGACCAGAAAGTATCCCTGAAAAACAATCTGTAGATCCTGAGGATGGGAAGGGGGTTTAGTAGAGTTCCAAAGAGGGGCAAAGAATGTTGGAAGGGATATCAAAAAGGAACGATAACAATCTGAGAGATCGTGATTGCTCAAAGAGTAATGTCCGAGGTGGATGAAAGTAGTTAATTTCCAGGATACATTCTAAATATGGAGCCTAGACAATTTACTAATGAACCAGATGTGGCATGAGTCACAGATGACTTGGTTTGTACCCTAAGATGGGGACTAGTAAGAACGAATTTACACAGGATAAAGAGTTTACTTTCAGACACATTAAATTCGACTTCCATATTAGACAATTACCTGGCAGTGAAACGTACACAGCTGAATAGTTAAGTGTAGGATCCAGGGAAGAAGCACAGTAAGCAAGTAAATAAACATACGAAACACGCAAAAGGTAATAACCTGTATATAACAAGAAGAAAATGGATGAAAGCATCTGAGGAGTGAGTGTAGAGACTCAAGACTGGGACCTAGGCTGCCAATAAAGCCAACAGAAGTTGGGATAAAGAGAACCTAACATGAAAATCGGAAAACTAGGAAAGGGCGTGGGCAAACAGTTGTGATAGGAAGTCACATACAAGAGGGAGGGCAGGGCAGGCCCAGAAAGTTGTAATCATAAATTAGTTGAAGACAAATTCATCAGCTAACCATCATCGACTGGGTTCTGTGATAATGGTAGATTCATAGTAAAAGGTGAATTGTGCAGGGAGGACAAGAATGACAAACGTGTTGGCCTCTGGAAACAAGTTTGGTATAGTTGAAAATATTTTACGTGACTCCACAGTCTCCAATCAAGTGTTATATTTTATTTGGGGGAAAGTTTATGTGTAACTGAAGAAAGGGAAAAATCACCACAATAACAATGTGCTCTTTTTCAGGTAACAAAATGCTCCCTCCGAAATGGCCTCAAAAACCAAAAAAAAGTAAGTTCTAGATTAAAAAAGCAGATGAATTACCACAATATGTTCTTTATGTGCAGATAATATGCATGACATAGTCATTCACTATTAGGAAGTACTAATATAGTTTGGTTCTTACTTAATGTATTTTATTTACTGTAGATACTTATTGCCGAGCAATTCAAGATGAACTGGAGAATAAGCTCCTAATTTTGGACAGAATAGCAAAAATAAATGATTACATAATGTTCCACCAAAATCACATAGACTCCTTCAGGTAAACTTTCAAAATACTGAAGAAGTTATGCACTACATTAAAAATGTCAGGCAAAAAATTTTAAAAGGTAAATACATTATCAATATCATATTTTTTATGTTTGTAGTCTGAACATTTAAAAGATTTCCTCATATTGATAAAAAGTTGCTTTTTCTTCCACATTGAGGAAATTTTATGAGTCAAAAGTTAGAAAATGAATCCCATGCTAGCACATCCTAGTTCACAATATTCTTTCAGGGTAGGGCATATTAAGAAAAATGACTTGTTAACTCTCAAAATGCATTTTAGTTGAAAGAAAACAGCAAACTGAAATCTACCTTTTGAACATAACTAATTCAAACAGCTTGGTCACTGATCAGGGACTCATCAATTCAAGCTGAAATGGGGCAAGAAATGGTATATATACACGGCAACTAAAAAATGAAACAATCTTTACTACCAAAATGACAACAAAAAATTAATGGTGAGGGTTTTATCCTGCAATAGAAAGTTTGACTATTTGTCATATTAACTTTTCATACTTTTTCATGATTTGAGTTTCACAAATCTCGTCTTAAAAACTCAATTAAAAAATGGAGATTTTTCCTTAGCTCTCCATTCAGATTCAATTAAGATATAGTACTACTTGTATGTTTATGTGCTTAGGATTCTAGTTATTACAGTTTTGATTATTTTGACATTTCTTCTTAATAGAGGCTTGCTATCTCTTATCTTTTTCCAGTTTACTAAAGCTCACTGGTCTTTCACGTTTTTAATAGCTGAAAATTAAATTTGACTTCAAAATAATGGTTAACTTTGCCTAAGGTCTTGGGGACTTCTATGTCCTCTTAGAAAACACTAACTGTCCTCCTCTATAAAGACAAATTGAACATCATATGAAACAACTGTTTTCAGACACTGAACAACAGGCAGCACATGACTCTGATCCCTGAGAGACAGAAACAAACGAAAGTCTGTAAGACCACCTGGAGGCAGTTTCTAGAGTGTGCCGCCGGAAGGGGATGCCAAACAGTCTAACAATCTTGCTGAGTTGAGGCAGATTAGAAAGTCCAAGGGAACTAGAATTTGTAAGAGGGACACAGGAAAGCAACTGGTTGAACAAGTCTCAGAGTTCAGCAAGACTGAGAAGAGTCAGCATTCCCTCTGGAGGACTGGACACACTAGGCATCAAGTACAGTCCACAGGACAGCATTTTTCTAAGTAGCCCACCACTAAGGGGGGCTCTGGCTGCAACGTAACAAAGTGTAAAGGGACTGAAATACCAAGTAACTTCATTGCATAAAGGAACACCACGAAAATCTGCTGCCAGCATTGTAAAATTCACAATATCTATCATCTAATAAAAAATCACCAGGCAGGGCCTCCCTGGTGGCACAGCAGTTGAGCGCTGGGCTGCGAACCTGCCCACAGCCTCTGCAGTGCCGGTTTGATCCCTGGACGCTGGGCGAGGGTCCCACAGGGCGAGCAGACCTCTCCTGCCACCTGCTGCTCCCCTCAGCAGTGTGTTTCGTCAGTCTGCCTGTTCTGCTCCCCGCTCTGGCTCTGGTGAATTCTCTCACCCTCCCACGCTTCTGACTGTGCCCAGTGCTTGTATAAATAAATAAATAAATCTTAAAAAAAAAATAAATACCAGGCATAGAAAGAAGTAGAAAAATGTAACCAAGGGAAGAGACACCTGTGAAATCAATATGTATCAAAATGATAAGAGATGCTGGAATTAGCAGTAAGGCTGTTGCAAATATATTCCAGAAGATATTACTCAAGAATGTAAAGAAAAAAATGAATATGATAAAAAGTGGAGTGTTAAAGATGGAATATAGCTGGCGCAGCGGTTGAGTGCTGGGCTGCGAAGCTGCCTGCAGCCTCTGCATCGCTGGTTCGATCCCCGGCCGCCAGCGAGGGTCCCACATGACGCACAGACCTCTCCTGCTGCCCGCTGCTCCCCTCAGCAGTGTACTTTGTCAGTCTGCCTGTTCTGCTCTCTGCTCTGGCTCTGGTGAATTCTCTCACCCTCCCGTGCTTCTGACTGTACCCAGTGCTTGTATAAATAGATAAATAAATCTTAAAAAAAAAAAGTTTAAAAAAAAAAAAGGATGAATATAGCATATGAATTCAAAAATTATTCTAAAATGTATTAATGGCAAAGTAGACCCATTAGATGAAAAGATTGGTGGATCCAAAATCACAGCAAAATCCAAAAAGCACAAAACACCTTACACAGAGAAAGCTTTCTTCAGCCACACCCCATGACCCATTCATTCACCACATCCAGGCCAATATATAGGCACTTTCTTCTTTCAATTTCTAAGCAAGTGATTACCTTTTTCTTCACTAGTGATTCTCTCTCTCGATCCCTTTTCTTCCATTCCTCTGCAAGAGCTTTCATATGAGCCAGTTCTTTCTGCTTTAACTACCAAAAAAAAAAAAAAAAAATTCAGAAAAACCCTAAATATTTAAAACAGTTACATACACTCTGTTTCATACTTCAGTAAAAGTAGAAAAGAAGGTTACGAATCAAAGACAGGGCCTCCCCTGGTGGCGCAGCAGTTGAGAGCTGGGCTGCTAGGCTGCCCGTAGCCTCTGCAGTGCCGGTTCGATCCCTGGCCACCAGCGAGGGCCCCACATGGTGCAAAAGACCTCTCCTGCCGCCCGCTGCTCCCCTCTGCAGTGTAATTCATCAGTCTGCCTGTTCTGTTCCCCACTCTGGCTCTGGAGAATTCTCTCACCCTCTCGCGCTTCTGACTGTACCCAGTGCTTGTATAAATAAAATAAATCTTTAAAAAAAAAATCAAAGACAAAGTTTAGGGGATTCAAATCCTTCAGTGTGGCTTTGTAAAGCTCACATCTTCAGTATTTCTTTAAGGATTTTTTTTTTCAAAAGGACTAGATAGGATATCCATGGAACATAGAAAAACCTGTTATGGAGAAGGTGAACAAAAATAGTTCTTAGTAACATTTAAAAAGTAACCTGATTTTCAAAAATGTCTTCTTGCATCTCTTTCCACATTTCTAACTCAAGTGCTGCTTTGTATTCTAAGGTTTCACGTGGCTCTGTCTGGATTTCTGAAGGACAAGGTGCTGGAGGAAGAGAAGATGGCTTCTGTTGTGCAGCAGATAAACCCTACGATTTGAATTGTAAAAAATAATTGGAAACATAAAGCATTTGCAGAGATGCAATACTAAAGAATAATTTGTTAACATTCGATGCTACTTACCTGAGATGAATCAGAGACAAAAATCTCACGCATCTTCACTAATCCATAATCTTCTAGAGTCACTGTGTAAGAAAGATCTATTATCCTGTTGTTTGACCTACAATTGAAATCAGAAATATCTTAAAATTCAGTTCATTTCCCCAATGGTATAGCACTGAGTAGGCAACAGTTCTTGCACCTGACAGTACTTGCTACTGAAATTGCAGCAGCTTCTATAGCCTTCTAGAGCTGCCGTGTATATGACTTTATTTGATCATAAATATTTACATTAGGAGTATTATCTCACGTGAAATAGTCATTCAAAAACATAATGTAAAATGTAGTAATGAATTTGTGAAGCAAAATAAAAAACCAACCCCTTGGGGCCTCCCCTGGTGGCGCAGCGGTTAAGCACTGAGCTGCGAGGCTGCCCGCAGCCTGTGCAGCGCCGGTTTGATCCCCGGACACCAGTAAGGGTCCCACGTGGCGCGCAGACACGTCCTGCCGCTCCCACTGCTCCCCTCAGCAGTGAATTTCATCACTCTGCCTGTTCTGTTCTCCCCTCTGGCTCCGGTGAATTCTCTCACCCTCCCGCGCTGACTGTACCCAGTGCTTGTATAAATAAATAAATCTTTAAAAAAAAAAAAAAAAACAACCCCTGCTCTCTATGTGTATATTATTTGCTAGGATGACAACATTTGTATATAAATCTTATTGAATATGAGCATTGCCTCAGATAAATCTCTTACTTTAGGAATTATCCTAACATGGTGAGTACTTCTCTCTGTCACAGAACTGCACAAAGCTTTATCATTAAATAAAAACAAAACATTCAATAAATGTATGCTACAAAATTAGAACTCTTGATTAACCAACTTTTCCCACTTTGGCTCGTATCAGATTTTAGAAGAAGGAATAAACTAAACTGAAATATTATATATTTTAGGTAGCTTTCCTAAAATTTCTCCATCTATAGCGCACAGCAATAAAAGCGAATATTTATAACTAAAAAAAGCACTAAAATAACTTCTAGTAATGATTCTTTTGCCAGAAGAATACATTGAGAATAAAGAATTTCAATGAACAGGAGTTGAAACACAAAGAAATTAACCAGACTATGTGATTTTCTGGAATACCCATTCCCAGATTTTAAAAGTGAATAAAAGTTTTACTAAAACCTTTGCTCTCCAGAAGTGACTGTGGCTAGAGAAGAAATTTCAATACTTTTAGATTTCAGTTTCTTACTAACCCTGATTTCCTTCTACGTAAATCCTAAAAGTCCTTTTTTCCTAGTAACAATATACTGATTTGATATTTATATACAATGTGTCAGTTATACTTCAATAAAAAAGTATGTGATATATGTTCAATCCAATTTAAATTTCTAGTGTCAAATTTAAAAAGATCATTCAACAAATATTATTTTCTCTAAAATATGTGAATTAAGGTGGCAATAAATTTCACTGTAAATAATAAATCATTTTAAAAAATGGGAACCATAACATTCTCAGTTTTTACATTTGCGGCAAAAGTTAAAATACAAATAGAAAAATAGCCCCAGACATCTCCAATGCAAAAAATGTAGGCATGCATCATAAATTTGACCTTGAATTACTAAAAAAAGCATAGTCTAAAAATTTAAACTTTTCAGGCTAAAGAGAAGAGGGGTAACCTAATAGTCTGAGTAAGGGTTTGGTACGAGTGTCAGGAACTGAAAAGCAAAGTGGGATGTAGCCCCCAGAGGTCAAGAAGATCAGAAAAAAGAGGTTTTGAAAAGATGAAATTGTAGATAGCTTATCAGCGTCATTAACATGAATAAAAAAGGCAAAGATCAATTTGCCGAACGCATTACCCTTGCGCTGCTATAACGGGCACACTTTCACTGTAAGTTTGACGCCAACACTGTTCACCATTAGAGCCTAGAAAGCGAGATTTTTCTGAAGATAAGACGTTGGAAAGCTGGATTCGGGCAATTCCCAGAAGTGAATCTTTACTCATTTTATCCTTGTGCCATAATTCAACCAGCAATGGAACTCTAGGGAAGAGAGAAAGAGCAGTTCGTCAGCTGTGAACTTTGAATTAGCCTTTCCTGATTCCTTTTGAATCTCCTTAATGTAAGCAAAGATTTTGTCACTTGGAATGTAAAGGCTCAATTCCACAGGTAACTAATGGGAAATGCCATTAAATTTCTATACCTTTCCATGTAATAAAACCCATCACATACTTTTCTTCCGACAAATAAGATCATTCTGGGTGACCCTTCAGGCTTCCTACAGTCATTTAATGAACCAATGATTAAAAACAAAATATTTACTATTTATCATCACATATTAGAAAAAGCTAAGACTACTTTTTAAAGCTACTTCATTACTCAGTGTTTTAACAAAGTTAAAACAAAAGCTGCTGTGGATTTAACCCTCTAGAAATTTAACCCTCTAGGAACCCTCAGACAAAAACTGCTGTGGATTTAACCCTCTAGGAATTCCTCTTTAAAATGTGTATTTTCAGGATTAACTTGGGAAAACCATACTATATACACAATGTATACAATACCTTAAGAAGGTATCTTGCAACTGATAAGGCATAGTTGCAAAATCAAATGCACAGTAAGACTGGGGAAGAAAAACTTCCATGTTTTTCCTAACTTCCACAGGAGGATTCGTCATAATAGGAGCGGCACTTCCAAAAAACGGATATGAGTACCTAGAATTAAAAAAAAAAATACAAAATTTTACACTACAACACTACAGCTTACAGATGAGATTTATAGTTTGTTGGTAATATTCATATTATGCTTCTTTTTAAAGCAAATCAATTTTTTCTAATTAAAAATGGTACGAACAGGGCCTCCCCAGTGGCGCAGTGGTTGAGCGCTGGGTTGCGAAGCTGCCCGCAGCCTCTGCAGCACCGGTTTGATCCCCGGCCGCCGGGCGAGGGTCCCTCATGGCGCGCAGATCTCTCCTGCCGCCCACTGCTCCCCTCAGCAGTGTACTCCGTCAGTCCGCCTGTTCTGCTCCCTGCTCTGGCTCTGGTGAATTCTCTCACCCTCTGGCACCTCTGACTGTACCCAGTGCTTGTATAAATAAATAAATAAATCTTTAAAAAAAAAAAAGGGTACGAATACATTATGTTGTTTTTTTTTTAAGATTTATTTATTTTTTTATGCATACAAGAGCGGGGGTACAGGTCAGAGGTGTTGGGGGCGGGAGAGAGGAGTCACCAGAGACAGAGTGGGGAACAGACAGGCGGACCAACTGAAATACACTGCTGAGGGGAGCAGCGGGCGAGGCAGGAGAGGTCTGCTGCGCCATGTGGGTTGCTCCCTGGCCAGCCGGGAATCGAACCCGCACTGCAGTGGCTACGGACAACTTTACAGATTGCATCATAACCCCTTGTGCCACCAGGGAGGCCCGGTTTTATTCTTATTTGCATAATTTTAAAACATGATATTTTCAGCACTGCTATAAAAATTTGAAATTCTAGAGAAAATGTATTATTTGAATAGCACTACTTCCCCAAGTTGCTTTATAGGTAATCTTTCAATTATCTCCTAAGGTAGAAAAGGAAAATTCTGGTGTTTTGAAGATAACACACCAAATAAGGAAATGACAGGCATTTTGATACACTATAAAAAGACAAAGATTTAGTAAAAAATAAGAAGACCATTATACAGAGACTAAGCTGCCAGGGGCTTAGGAGTTTCCTGAGGGAGTGGGTGCTGTCTTCACCAAGTCTGTCCTCCCAGGAACAAACAAGCAGTTCCCACCATATAGTAATAAATCAAGAAGATATTGCTGAATTTAATTTCTAAGCTTATACTTTCATAACCTTAACATTTTAAGCAGACAGGTTTATCAGGAAACAGAGAAAGGAAAAGAGACAGCTGCATAATCACAGGCAGGCAGAGAGGACAGCTAAAGAACAACATAACAGAATTTGTTCCTTTCATCTTAAAAATCCCATCAGATTAAATGGAAGAATACCTAGCTATGGTGAACTTATTTTGTATTTACAGTCAAATATAAAGATATAATAGTTTAATTTCATCCATATACAACTAGAGTGTGAATCCTACTAGTATAAATTGCTTTTCCTGCAAGAAGAATCCTATGCATCCCCTCTATTACTATATAATTACATGCTCACTGAAATTAAGTCCCCTATTTCTCCACTACAGGATGTACTGCTTTAAAAGAAAAAGAAAACACAGTAAAGGTAATTATTGCAGGTTAAACTTTCAAAAACCTGTGTTGCCTCACAAATTCCATTATATAGTTTCAAATTACAACTTCATTCCAACGCAGAGCAAAACAACACATAATTTATTCAATACAAAGTTAAATGGCTAGCATTTTTTAAAGTGCCATAAAATGACGCAGACAGAAATTTAGCAGTAGTCCATATCAGGTGAATACTATATAGAGGATCATAACTATTTCCTTGGTTTAGAATATCCTTTCCCCTCTGCCAAGTAACTACTAGCCTCTCTCACACACTGACTGGTTTCTGAATCTGTCTTCTTGATTCAGCTGATCTCTTTTTTTTATATGACCCCTGCACCCCTAATATCAGGCATACTACAGGCATAATACAATCTTTTAATGATTAAAACCATGGCCCTTAAGGCAAGAAGGAAACACAGAAATCACCGTTAGTGCTTTCTAAGTGGCTTGTGCAGGCTTCCACCTCACATGCTTCTATAATAAGGTCACATCATCTTAAGAGATATCTTAAGAGCAGATTCTTGAGCAGCAGAAGAGAGATCTCAGTTAAAGGAGCAGATGGAAAAAAGATAAACTAAAGAATAAGTAATGAAACTTATTTTTAGAAATAAGTTTTAGAAGTCATACAAACTGAAAAAAAACTATGAGAAAACCTTTTTCTAGTCTTTGATTTTTGAACTAATATAGTTATGATTTTCAACCTCTAGTATGAGGTAAAATATCCAAGGTAAGTGGTCGTAGAAGACTTCCATTCTATGAATTCACAATTACACTCATCCTTTGATTCTGTCCATTATTTACACCAAAGCTTGAAGAAGATTGGAAATAATCTGATAAGGATTCAGAGAATTTAAAATTCAGATGCATGGATGAACTGATTTAGGCACGTGAAAGGCGGGTCTGCCTCATTAATAGCAGGAAACAATGTGCAGTCACTGACACTCCCGAGAAGGGCAATCCAAGATGGCAGAAAGGTTCTGTCACTGTAGTCACATAAGGAACCACAAATCTATTGCAAATGCTAATGTTTACTCCAAAAGAATTTATGAGGAGACACTAAATACTCTAAACTAAAACACATTACTGTATTACATTTAACTTATATCTCAGCCACAAGACTGTGAAAATATATTAAAAACAGACTGTTGTGTAGTCATTTCACTGAAATATGTTTTTCAATTCTTTATATAAAAAAATGTAGACATTCCACTTACAGTCCATTAAGAATGTTTTTTAGATTTATAGCTATAAAATGCAAATACTAGAAATACAACCTCCAATAGTAATAGTTTTATGGAAAAATCAGATACCACTACTATTTTTGACCTGTGGCATCTTTTCCACTAAACAGCTCATTTTAAGAGTTGCTATATTTTAAACAGCAGCATTAATAAATTATTTTAAGTATCTAGAATTATTCCACCAGAACAGGTAAGACTATTAGTTTTCAAAGCACCAATGCCATTCTGGTTTCAGTTCAAAGTTATTAGAATACAATCTTACTTCTAGTCCATTGATTTAATAAGTGTTATTTGGTGACATTTCTGTCTTTGCAACTCCCCAAACAGACGCAAGGCATTTCACCCCAGAAAATAATACTTTGAAACAAGTTCAAATCACACCTTAAAATACAGTTGATGGGAAAACCAACTTCCAAGTCATGGATACTCCTTAAGTCTATTGAAAAGCAAAAATGATGTGATGTTGCTGGAACAGCAATTTTCTGTCCTGAAACTATTTCTGAAGCAATGGACGTAGTCACTGGCTGGACCAGTGAGGCAGGTACAGAAGAATTGATGGCTAAAAGAAACATAAAAATAACAAAGAAAAAACAATTCCACTAAATTATTCAGATAATTTAAAGATATTATCTCATTTACATTTACACATTGAAGCAAGGGATATATTAGGTTTAATAAACATATGAATAATAAATCAATCTCTAACAGTGATGAGCTCCAAGTTATTGGGTTGTCAGAAAAGTCATGATGTATTTTTTCTTTATTTTCTATGCAAACGTGTCATGATTTTTGCAACAACACAATATATAGGCTTTAATTTTCATCATAGAACTACGTAAAAAAGGGGGGGGGCTTACGATCAATATAAAATTACAAAACCTAAAAGCACAGGCACTGATACATACATTACTAGGATGACAGCAGTCTGGCAGGCACTACATTTCCAAGAGGTAGCTGAACATAAGTTAGCATTCAGAGGGCTGTATCTGAGACTTGAGGCAAATGAAATTACATCACTTTTTAAGTTTTTTGGCTACTTCAGGTATATATGACATCATCTAACAGAGAGCTAAGACTTGAAGAGAGAGGTATCTAGTCCAATTCTATCATGGAGCAGAGATGTTGAATGAGTCTTACAGCTACTGAGTGACAGAGCTATAACTTGCACCCATCATTTTTAACTCCTAATCCACCAGTATTACTTTTAATTACTAAATGTAACTGTAGATCCTTATGCAATGGACGGAAAATGTTTATCCAACTGGATAAATATGCATGTTTAGACTCTCAACTGTAGGATAAAAAGTGATGACTTAACTGTACAAAGTAGTTTTTTCCCTAAAATTCCAATGGATGTAAGACATTTGATAGCTTATTAAAGATCTATTTGAGAGAACTGTCTTTCATTTTGTTTGAATAGGCTATCATTTCTAGTTTAAGATACTGTAATTACATTAAGTTTTTTTATACCATCACACATTATTAGTTCTTTACAAAACTCAAATGCTACTTAGAACCAAAAAAACTCAGATTTTACAGTCATCTAATAAACAACGATCAAATACCTAAAAGCTCTGCAAAAAGAACATCTTACCCTTTGGATTCGGTTTTGGGTCCTTATCAAACTGCAAGCTTTCCACTTCACTTTCTGTTGCGTCATCTTTTGTGGGAGGTGACTGGCTGGGAGGCAGAACAGGGGACACGCTTGGAGATTTGGGCCCAGTAAGTGTCTTCTCCTTTATGGGGGTTAAAACTTTCTTCTTTGAATGCTGTGGCTCATGTTCATTCTGGGTCTTTAATTCAATTAAAGACTAAAAACAATTTTTAAATAAAGTATAATTTGCAAAGAACTTTCCTTCATAATTAAGCAAAAAACTTGACGTTGTTTTTTAGAAATACAAGCTTCCTTTCCCAGTTTGGATATTCCTAGTCTACTTTTCTTCATAATTTGCAAATTTTCTTATAGCATCTAGGACCAGAAAAAGGAAGATGAATAGGAAGGAAATATGATATCCAGAGCTGAGTACCAAAATACATATTAATAGGTAAGAAGGGATATTTGATCAAAGAGGTCAGATATAGTATCTGTGGAAATGCTTGTAACACAATACAAAAGAGGCCTATATTCCTTTAAAAAAAAAAAAAAAAGGCTACTATGTTATTTCTCCTCTCTATTGCCTCTAAAAATAAATGCATATATAGCTTTTGAACTCCCATTTCAGCTTTCTATCTTTAATTCACAAACCTATATAAAGATCGGTTCTCTGAAAGAACAGGAATCTAATACTGACTCTGGAGATATAACAAAGAAAACATGCATTCAAACAAATGCCCATCTCAGTTGCCCAAGAAGAGTATGAGGGCTGTAAGGCATTATTAACAAATCAAGAACCTTATCTTAGCTCAGGCTGAGTCAACCAGAATAACTACCATTAATGCAGATTCCCAGCAACTAGGCCTAAAAAATGATTTCCTTTCAGGGGAGTTCCTTTTCTGCCATTAGTCACTGATTATGAGTTGGGGGGTGGGGTGAAGGTGCGGGGAACAGTTTCCACTGTGCATGGGAAGGCGGTCCTGAAAAGTGCTGCAAGGTCACTTACAAACCAGCCATGGAAGCCACAGTGCTTTTCAGAAAGATCTTTCCAGAAAGGAGGTACTATATAATGTAGATCACTAATTAAGAGTCATCAATACTTTCTTATACTAAAGGACTGTTCTCAAGTTCAACCTTTGTGAGTAATCAGGAGAGGTAGTGGAGGAAGGGAAGGAGGATCACTACTTGCCTGGGCATCAACGCCTTCTCTCTGCAGAGCCACAGAAACTCCCACAGTTGGGGCTAGCTCCACAGGAACAGGTGCCAGCTTTTGCTTGGCTCGGTTTGGAGGTTCAAGGGTAAAAGCACCCTCAACTGTAACTGGGCGCTGGTTGATTTCTGTACTACCCTTTTTCAGCAATCCAGTTAAAGGTATTTCTGTACTGCCAAGTGACTGATCGCCACAGCAGAGATGGATCTAAAATGAAAAGAATAATCAAAATTGGGCTTTATACTTTTCTCCTAAGCATATTAAATTTAACAAAAAGTTTATGAGTCCCAGGCAGCAAGTATAATGGAAGTTACCTTACTGACCTGAAGCGACCAAGTAATACATTCTCCCACAACTGTTAAACTGTTGATGAAACACAGAGCTTGCCAAGAACTCAACAATAATGGTATTATATCTTTTTCATTTGTTCTTTCAGTGTAGTATATACTCAAATGTTACGGCCCTTTTGTCTGTTACTTGGTGACCTGTGGTTACTCTAAGATTCTATTATGCTACTTTCCATATGCAGATTGTGTTATAAATACATTGGGTTAAGTTAAAAAAAAATACCACAAACACTTTTTTCTATTTCCATTTTAACATTAAACGCATATAAATTAGTAGACCCAGCCCTACTTGGAAATTACAGAATCTCAACGTGTCTTATTCATACACAAAACACGTTAAGAATTTCTTTGGTCTCTTTTCTTGGCTTTAAGACTTTAATAGTTTATCAAAAGTTTGACATTTACTATTCTTTTCCCTTAACTATTCCTTTAACTATCCCAGAATTATTCTTTTCCCTTACTATATTGAAGCTTTGACAAACTTAGCATTGACGTGACCAATTAGCTATCACTACATGAAAATACTCTTAGTTCTACCATCAGCAATGACTTAAAACTTATTTTTTTCCCCCATCTTCTCCCCACTTACCTGTAACTTATTCTTAATGGTAGGTGCAATAATGGGTTGGAGAGAAAGGATTTTTATGACTTTATTAAATATCCATGAGAATCAAACTAATAAAGATCAATGTTTTTCTTAAGGCTTGATTTGTGAGATACAGGAATGATATATTATAGAATAAAAGTAAAAAGTGCTTTTTTCCTGCATTTTATTATTTTAAATAATCTTGTTTTCTCAGTGTCTGGGATTTATCAGAACCACCCCTAAAATTTAGCTCCGTTAATATTTCTTAATGCTTCTCTTCACATCCTACCCCAAAATATAAGCAGTCTAATGACTCATCACAGTAAACAAATGACTATCTAACCCTACATTTCACTACTACAACTCAGTCCTATTAAAAGTAATCATAAAAGATGGAACAGTAATTTTCACAAGGTTCACTTTTAAATAGAGTTCAATTTAAATATAACTTACCAAAAAAATACTCAAGTCAGAGGCAGGTTTTAGAAAGCACTGGTCTCCTTGCTTTTCATAGCAGTAAAACATATATAAATTCTGAAGTCTAGTTTGATCTGCCTACTATCTCCACTAACAATAATGAAACTTTGCTAAGTTCCCAACTCTGGGCTCCAGGTTTTTATTATAAAGAACAGATACACCACTTTTCTCAGTAAGCTCCTAAAATTATCAGGAAAATTCCTAACATTTAAAAGAGGTAGCAGTGACATGACCTCTACTACTGAAATTAGAGAGTGTAAGTACCTATCTAACACTTAAAAAAAAAAACATTGCTAATAAAAAAAATTGTTCTATAGTCAGTTTTCAAGGATTAGTTTTTATTTTTTTTTTTTTTTTTTTTTAATAATAAATTTTATTGTTGTATTCCCCATACAATTGCAGCCCCCCCATTCTGACCCCAATCCCTCCCCTCCCGCCCCCACCCCCCTAAAAGTGTCTCTGGTTCATAGTTTTTTGTTGATTTTGATTTTCACTTTCTTATAGTTATTCGTTTTCCTGGTCCCTTATTTAAGTTTTCTAGATTCCTGCTATGAGTGAGACCATCCGGTATTTTTCTTTTTCTTTTTGGCTTATTTCGCTGAGCATGATCCCTTCCAGCGCCATCCATGTTGCTGCAAATTGCATGTGTTTATCTTTTTTGAATGCTGAGTAATATTCCATGGTATATATGGACCACATCTTCTTGATCCAGTCATCTATTTTTGGGCATTTGGGTTGTTTCCAAAGCTTAGCTATTGTAAACAGTGCTGCTATAAACATAGGGGTGCAGGTGTTCTTTGGAATTGATGTTTCTGTGTCCTTTGGGTAAATACCTAGGAGTGGAATTGCTGGATCATATGGAAGCTCTATGTTTAGTAGGTCCAGAAATCTCCACACAGCTTTCCACAGTGGTTGGACCAGTTTGCACTCCCACCAACAGTGTAGAAGAGTTCCTTTTTCTCCACACCCTCGCCAGCATTTGTTGTTGCTAGTTTTTTTAATATGTGCCATTCTCACTGGTGTAAGATGGTATCTCATGGTAGTTTTGATTTGCATTTCCCTGATGGCAAGTGATGTTGAACATTTTTTCATATGCCTGTTGGCCATTTGCATTTCCTCTTGAGAGAAGTTTCTTTTTAGCTCTTCTGCCCATTTTTTGACTGGATTATTTTCTTTGTTGTTGTTGAGTCTCATCAGCTCTTTGCAGATTTTTGTGATCAGTCCTTTATCATTAGTGTTGGGTGCAAAAATGTTCTCCCAGTTGGTGGGGTTTCTCTTTGTTTTTGTTATTGTCTCTTTTGCTGTGCAGAAGCTCTTTAATTTGATGTAGTCCCAGCTGTTTATCTTTGCCTTCACTATCACTGCTTTGGGTGATGTGTTTGTAAAGATGTCTTTGATGTGCAAATCACGTAGTGTTTCGCCTATATTTCCTTCTATATATTTTATGGTTTCAGGTCTTATGTCTAGTTCTTTAATCCATTTTGAGTTGATTTTTGTGTATGGTGTGAGGTAGTGGTCAAGCTTCATTCTTTTGCATGTAGCGACCCAGTTTTCCCAGCACCATTTATTGAACAAACTTTCTTTGCTCCAATGCATAGTCTTTGCTCCTTTGTCAAAGATTAGTTGACCATAAATCTGTGGGTTTATTTCTGGATTTTCTATTCGATTCCATTGGTCTGTATGTCTGTTCTTGTTCCAATACCATGCAGTTTTGATGATTATGGCTTTGTAGTAGAGTTTGAAGTCTGGGAGTGTAATGCCTCCATTCCCTTCTTTTTTTTTCAGGAGAGCTTTGGCTATTCGGGGTTTTTTGTGATTCCATATGAATTTCATCAATAATTGTTCTATTTCTTTGAAGAATGACATTGAAATTTTGATTGGAATAGCATTGAATCTGTATATTGCTTTTGGAAGGATGGCCATTTTAATAATGTTTATTCTTCCAATCCACGAGCAGGGGATGTCTCTCCATTTCTTTGTGTCTTCTTCTATTTCTTTTAACAGTGTTTTATAGTTTTCTTTGTATAGGTCCTTTACCTCTTTTGTTAGATTGATTCCCAAATATTTGATTTTTTTTGTTTCAATAACAAAAGGGATGGTTTTTTTGATTTCTTCTTCTTCAGATTTATTGTTTGTGTATAGGAAGGCTACTGACTTTTGCGTGTTGATTTTGTATCCTGCCACTTTACTGAACTGATTGATGAGTTGAATTAGCTTTTCTGTGGAGTTTTTGGGGTTCTCTATGTATAATATCATATCGTCTGCAAATAGTGATAGTTTGACTTCTTCTTTTCCTATTTGGATTCCTTGGATGTCTTTCTCTTGTCTTATTGCCCTGGCTAGGACTTCCAGTATTATATTGAAAAGCAGTGGTGAGAGTGGACATCCTTGTCTTGTTCCAGATCTTAATGGAATTGCTTTCAGCTTTTCACCATTGAGAATGATACTGGCTGTTGGCTTGTCATAGATGGCCTTTATGATGTTGAGGTATGTTCCTTGTATCCCAAGAATTTCAAGGGCTTTTATCATGAATGGGTGTTGCACTTTGTCGAAAGCTTTCTCAGCATCTATTGATATTATCATATGGTTTTTATGTTTCTTTTTGTTGATGTGTTGGATAACGTTGATTGATTTTCGGATGTTAAACCATCCTTGTGCCCCTGGAATGAATCCTACTTGGTCATGGTGAATTATCTTATGGATACATTGTTGGATTCTGATGGCTAAAATTTTATTGAGGATTTTTGCATCAGTGTTCATTAGGGAGATTGGCCTGTAGTTTTCCTTTTTTGTGTTGTCCTTGTTCGGTTTTGGTATTAGTGTAATGTTGGCTTCATAGAACGTGTTTGGTATTGTCCCTTCCTTCTCAATTTTTTGGAAGAGTTTGTGAAGGATAGGCACTAATTCATCTCTGAATGTTTGGTAGAATTCATTTGTAAATCCATCAGGTCCTGGGCTTTTGTTTTTGGGGAGGTTTTTAATTACCATTTCAATTTCGCTAATTGTAATTGGTCTGTTTAGGTGTTCTATTTCTTCTTTATCTAGCTTTGGGTGATTGTAGAGTTGTAGGAATTTGTCCATCTCCTCTAGATTGTTAAACTTGTTTCCATATAACTGTTCATAGTAGTTACTGATTATTCTTTTGATTTCTGCTGTGTCCGTTGTGATTTCTCCTCTTTCATTGATGATCCTGTTTATTTGTGCTTTCTCCCTTTTTTCCTTTGTGAGCCTGGCTAGGGGTTTGTCTATTTTATTGATTTTTTCAAAGAACCAGCTCTTGGTTTCATTGATCTTTTGGATTGTTTTTTTAGTTTCAATTTCATTTATTTCTGCTTTGGTTTTTATTATTTCTTTTCTTCTACTGGTTTTGGGGTTTTTTTGTTGTTCTTTTTCTAGATCTTTGAGCTTCGAGATTAGGTTGTTTCTTTGAGTTCTTTCTTGTTTCTTGATGTGAGCTTCTATTGCTATATATTTTCCTCTTATTACTGCTTTTGCTGCATCCCATACGTTTAGGATATTGGTGTCCTCCTTGTCGTTCAATTCAAAAAATTTTTTAATTTCCTCTTTGATCTCCTCATTAGTCCAGTGGTCTTCCAGTAGTGTGGTTTTTAATCTCCATGAGGTAGGAAAGTTCCTTGCCTTCTTTTTATGGTTTATTTCTAGTTTGATGCCTTCATGGTCAGAAAAGATGGTTGATATGATTTTAATCTTGGTGTATCTGTTGATGTTTGTCTTGTGCCCCAGTATGTGATCGATCCTGGAGAATGATCCGTGTGCGCTTGAGAAAAATGTGTACTCCGTTTTTTGGGGTTTAGTGTTCTATAGATGTCTGTTAAGCCCAATTGCTCTAGGTCCTTATTTAGAGCTTTGGTTTCTTTACTTATTTTTTGTCTTGTTGATCTATCCATTGTTGATAGTGGTGTGTTGAAGTCTCCCACTACATATGTGTTTTCTCTGATGTCTGTTTTCAGAGAGGACAACAGTTGTCTGATATATTTTGGTGCTCCTTCGTTTGGTGCATATATGTTAATGAGTGTTATTTCTTCTTGAAATATTGTCCCCTTGATCATAATGTAGTGACCATTGGGGTCTCTTTTTATCTTTTTGAGTTTGAAATCTGTTTTATCTGATATAAGTATAGCTGTTCCTGCTTTCTTTTTTGGCCCATTTGCTTGTAGGATTGTTTTCCATCCTTTAACTTTGAGCCTATTTTTATCTTTTGTAGCTAAATGTGTTTCCTGTAGACAGCAAAAGGTTGGGTTTTGTTTCTTAATCCAGGCTGCAACTCTGTGTCTTTTTATTGAAGAGTTTAGTCCATTTACATTTAGAGTTAATATTGATATGTTAACATCTGTATTTGCCATTGTGTTTGTCTTTCCTTTGATTTTATTTATTTATTCTTTTAATAACTTTTTTTTTTTTTTGGCCTTCTTTCATTGTTATTCGTCCCTCTGAGGTTCTGGCTTTAGGACTCCTTGTAGTATTTTTTGGAGTGGGGGTTTAGTTGCAATGAAATTCCGGAGTTTCTGTTTGTCTGGGAAGGTCCATATTCTTTCTTCAAAGAGGAAGGAGAGCTTTGCGGGATAGAGTATTCTTGGTTGGCATCTGTTTTCTTGGAGTCTGTTGACTATGTCCCTCCACTCTCTCCTTGCCCGTAGTGTTTCTTCGGAGAAGTCTGATGTCAGCCTGATTGGCTTTCCTTTGAATGTTATCTGTTTCTTCCCTCTTGCCAGCTTCATTATTTTTTCCTTGTCCTGGATTCTTGGGAGCTTTACTATTATGTGTCTTGCTGTATTTTTTCTTTCGTCGTGGAAGTTTGGTGTTCTTCTTGCTTCTTGTATATCAATTTTCAGCTCCTTCTTCACATTTGGGAAGTTCTCTTCAATTATCTCTTTGAATATTTTCTCTGTTCCTACTTCTCTCTCCTCTCCTTCTGGTATTCCTATAACTCTTATATTTCCTTTCCTCATGGAGTCAGATAGTTCCCGAAGTCTTTCTTCATTCTTTTTCCTTCGTACTTCTCTTTCCTTTTCTGTTTTGGTTCTTTTTATTTCTGTGTCTTCAAGAGCACTTATTCGTTCTTCCATTTCATCAATTCTGCTTTCATTGCTTTTCCCAGAATTCTTTAGTTCTTCCACTAATTCTTTGATCTCCTGCATTTCTTTTACTTCCCTCTTTAGGGACTCAATTTCATTCTTCTGATCGTTGATTATTTTTCCCTTATCATTGTTTTCCTTTATGACTTCTGTCAGTTTTTTAATCACGGCAATTTTAAATTCTCTTTCTGGAAGGCTCAGAAGTTCTTCCAAGTTACTGTCGTTGCAATCTGAGGGCTGGTTTTCTTTTTGTGGTGTGCTTTTTTTCTGGAGAGTTGCTAGGTTGCGTGTGGTTCTTCTCCTCCCTACTGTCTGTTTTCTAATTTGCCGTATGCGTTGGGACACTGTGTAGTTGGGACTGGCCGGCATCTTGGGTGAGCTTCTCTGCTCCCCTCTGGTTCCTCCAGGAGTCATCTGTCAGTTTCAAGCAGTCTTTATTGGAGAAAGGTCCCTGTCCTAAAATGTCGATGTGGGGACACACTCCCCTGTGCGCCTGGTCTGCCCCGGCGGTGGGTTCCTGCTCCCCCACTGGGCTTGGACTGCAGGCCAGAGGGGGTCTGGCGTGGGCGAACTTCCCCCGCTCACCTCTGGCTCCTGAGGAAGCCTTCTGCAGGTAGTCTTTACTGAAGAAATGTCCCTGTTCTAAAATGGTGATGTGGGACACACTCCCTGCACGTACGGTGTCAGGCACACTCTTCTGCGTGCCTGGTCTGCCCCGGCTGTGGGCGCTCGCTCCCCCTGTGGGCTCAGACTACTGGTCGGAAGGGGCCAGGCGTGGGCTAACTCCCCAGCTGGCCACTATCTCCTTCAGGAGCCTGTGCTGGCTACAAGTCGCTAGGTGGCGCCAGAGATCTCTCCTAGAGCCCTTGGGGAGCTGATTTTCCACCCCGTGGGACAGGGAGCAGAGCGGGGATGGTAGGGTACACCTCAACGGCTTTGGGGTGCTGTGTCTGCCTTGTGCCCCACCGTCGTGCGGAACCCACGCCCCTAATTTCGTGCCCCGGGTCTCAGTTCCAAAGCCCTCAGTTCCAGGACGCGGGCTGTAGCCCAGTTCAGTGGCGCGGGAATGGCGCCTTTTGAATCCCGCTCCCCTGCCTGGGCGCCTGGTTCCTGCTCACTCCGGGAGGGCCTCCGCGCGTCTCCCCGCAAGCCTAGGTCGTCTTCCGGCAAGCCTAGGTCGCAGGCGCGGGGACCTGGGCAGCTGCGATCCGATCCGCGCAATCCGCGCCGCTTTCCCCGCGCAATCCCGCTCCGCGTCTGTTTTTCTGGTGCGCCGCTTCCGCGCAGGCTTACCGGTTGGCCGGGGCTGTGGGCTGGTGCTGGCCTCCTCCTGGGCGGGGCTCTCTTCAATGGCGCCCGGAGCTCACCTCCGCGGCGGATCCTGCGGGGGTTCTCCACAGCTCCCGTTCACGGGGTGTGGTGGCTGCAATAGTTCCTTTCCACTCACAGTCCCGCTTGCTGCGTCCTTTGTTCTTGTTGGCAGTTTTAGTTTGTCGTTTTCCTCCTCTCTGCCGGTCGGAGAGTGCCGCCTCTGTGGGCGGGGGAGGGGAGCAGGGTTCTGCGCTTCCCTGCCTTCTGGTCCTCTTTTATGGCAACTTTCTTCTTCGGGCAGTTTGCTGGAGTCGTCCGTTTATCTTCCGTGTCCCAGTTCTCACTGGGACCTGCCGCTTTTCCTCCCTATTAACTTTTTTTTAATGGGAGATCTTACTTGCAGCGTCTCCTCGCCGCCATGTTGCTCCGCCCCTCTCCTCAAGGATTAGTTTTTAAACTTGCCTTCATACACCACCCAGTATTTGTCTGCAGTACTTACCTGTAGTTTTGACTGAAGAGCCAGGTAAACTCGAAGAATTTCTATACTGCTACGTATTCGAACAGATGCTCTCTCCGGCTCAAAGTTTGGATTGATCAAATCATTGAAGGGTTCATTTGTAACATCATTTCCCAATAAAGAATAGTAAAAGAAAAACTCAGGCTGTCTCTCTGGAAGTTTCATGGTACATGGAATTAACTACACATATAAAGAAAAAGAAAAGAGTATTACTTTATGAAACATTAAGATATGCTTTCCAAAAATGGATGCTAAAATTTTGATTTCTTTCAAGTCTTCAAATTAACCACTCAGAATGTAATCTTTGTGAAATTATCAGCAAACAACTAATTTGCTTAATTTTAAAGGCACACAGATCTTACAAAAAGCACAAAGAAATGAAAATATTTTTATATATTTGTTGTTTTAAAGTAATACATTTCTTTAAATTGATTCATGAATGAATGTGAATGCTCTTTTAAGAAAAAGGTCAAATATTTTATATTGTGCTTCCCCTATTTTCACATATCTTATTTCATTTTTCTTTACTCCATCTTTTACTTCATAAATAAGTGTTTTCAATAATCTCAATATGGGCTACTTAACAACATCTTGGAGCTTTTGATAAAAGTTTGTTTGCCATTCTGTCAAAATTTGGATACCTATGAAAACTGTCAGTTGACTCTTTTCTTAAAATCCTTAAAGTTCGGGCCTCCCCGGTGGCGCAGCGGTTGAGCGCTGGGTTGCGAAGCTGCCCGCAGCCTCTGCAGCGCCGGTTCGATCCCCGGCTGCTCCCTGGCCACCGGAGGAGTGTCCCACATGGTGCGCTGAACTCTCCTGCCGCCCGCTGCTCCCCTCAGCAGTGTACTTCGGTCCTTCTGCCTGCTCTGTTCCCTGCTCTGGCTCTGGTGAATTCTCTCACCCTCCCGCGCTTCTGACTGTACCCAGTGCTTGTATAAATAAATAAATAAATCTTAAAAAAATAAAATAAAAAAATTTTTAAAAATCCTTAAAGTTCACTAGAACATTGTTAAAAATAACAGTATGCTATTGTAAATAATACTGCTATAAACACAGGGGTGCAGGTGCCCTTTGGAATTAATGTTTCTGTGTCCTTTGGGTAAATACCTAGGAGTAGAGTTGCTGGATCATATGCAAGCTCTATCTTTAGTAGGTTGAGGAATCTCCACACAGCTTTCCATAGTGGTTGGACCAGTTTGCACTCCCACCAGCAGTGCAGGAAAGTTCCTTTTTCTCCACATCCTCGCCAACATTTGCTGTTGCTTGTTTTTTTAATATGTGCCATTCTCACTGGTGTAAGATGGTATCTCATTGTAGTTTTGCTAAGTAGTAATAGCTAAGCTTTGGAAACAACCCAAATGCCCAAAAATAGATGACTGGATCAAGAAGATGTGGTACATATACACAATGGAATACTACTCAGCAATCAAAAAAGATAAACTCATGCAATTTGCAGCAACATGGATGGCGCTGGAAGGGATCATGCTCAGCGAAATAAGCCAGAAAGAAAAAGAAAAATACCGGATGGTCTCACTCATAGCAGGAATCTAGAAAACCTAAATAAGGGACCAGGAAAAAGAGTAACTATAAGAAAGAAAAAATCAAAATCAACAAACAACTATAAACCAGAGACACACTATGGGGGAGGGGGCGGGGAAAGGAGAGATTAGGGCCAAAATAAGGGGGGTACAATTGTATGGGGAATATAAAAATTAAAAAAATAGTAAAGAAAAAAAATAACAGTATGCTAAACAACTGACAGGCTCATCAACAGGACATGTCTTAAAATACATGATAGTTAAAAAAATGTGGTCCCTAAATCATGACAAATTGACATGAAAATGATTTGAAATGCACTGTTAGGTAAATACAAAGTTACAGGACAATTTGAATCTGTGAGAATAAAAATATTAATCCCTGAGATGGTTAGTATTCCAACTTCTGGGATCAGATCCCAAACCCTAAGCCAGCCTCTGTCAATGACTTGCTATGAAATCCTGGATGGTGAAAAGGATTAAAAGAGTACATGTTCAGGTCTACCACTGGGCTAGCACACACTTGGTTATTGTTATGTGAATGTAAAATGAGGGAAAAAATGCATTACCCTTAGTGATTATTTTCGGGGAGATTAAAGGAGAATTTTGTTTTGTTTTCTTTTTCAGGAAAAATTTTTAGAAATAAAGATGGCCCCTTATATATTTCATAGTACATTTTAGTCTAAATCCCACTAAAAGAATATTCTTTTTAAAATCTTTAATTATCCTTGGTCTTAGAGACTATGTTTTTACCCTTACCTTTCAGTATTTAATGAAAGGAAACAAGATTATCACTACAGAGTCTTCCTACTCCAAACTTGTTCCACCCTTCTACTGCAACTTTACAGAATAATGTTCTAAGGCACTAACTTACATCTGAATTGGTATGTTTATTAGTACATTGTTAGATGGTTTCACATTGTGCCTTGGACTAGTTTAAGAAGAAAAATCTAAGTGGTTGAAATTTTTAAATATTTGGCTTATGTATAAAGATTTAAATGGGCAGATCAAATATATTAAACAGCACCATGGGATGAATAACATATTGCGCTTGATTTTTGTGTTTTTAAATTATTATAAGATACACGTACAGTAAACACTCAGTGAAATTTAATTCACAATATTGAGTAACTATCAACAATGCCAAGTTCAACAATACTGGCCCCCCCCCAAAAAAAAACACGAACATATTTCCCCGATTCCAAGCCCCTGAAGTCACAAGTCAGCTTCCTGTCGCTACATATTTGCCTGTTCTGGATATTTTATATGAGTGGAATCATACAATATGTGGCCTCTGTGTTTGGCTGCTTTCACTCAGCATTTTTTCAACACGCTCCCATGCTGTAGCATGTATCAGTACCTCATTACTTTTACAGTCAAAGTATATACATGTTTTACAGTCAAAGTATATACATGTATATACATGTTGGTTATTCATTCATTCATGGAAGGACATGAGTTGTTTCTGCCATTTGACTAATATGAACAGTGCCATTGTGAACACTTGTTTGCAAGTTTTTATTTGAACATCTGTTCCAAATTATTTTGGTAAAATTCTAGGAATGAAATGCTGGGTCTTGTGGTAAATGTTCAATATTTTGAAGAACCAATTTGGCTTAATTTTCAATAAAGAAAGCCAGCAGCTAGCCAGATTTCAGTCTGTGCTTTAAAAAACCAAACCATGGTGCCTCCCTGGTGGCACAAGGCATTAAATCTCAGCACTATGAAGCTATCCACTGCCACTGCAGCACAAGTTTGATCCCCGGCCAGGGAGCTGACCCACATGGCACAGCAGACCTCTTCTGTCTTGCACACTACTCCCCTCAGCAGTGTATTTCAGTCAATCCGCCAGTTCTGTTCTCCACTCTGTCTCTGATGATTCCTCTCACCCCCACCCCTCTGGCTATACCTCAGTTTTTGTACGCATAAAATCTTAAAAAAAAAAATAAATAAACCAAAAGAATGCTTGTTCCAATAAGTTACTTTGTACTACTAAGAACTGCATTTGTTCAAGCTGTGATTTTAATAAGTCATTTATCCATATCTACCTTTTATCAAACAGCTTCTCACATACAAACTATGTGTTGAGTATCTCATTCTTCATGCACATCTGTATGGCTGGCAGTAACATCACTATACAACTGACAGAATTCAAGCCTCAGGATAAATAAGTTACCTAACTTAACTAAGTTAGTCCTGAGAATAGGATTTCAACTCAAATCCATCTTACTCCAAAACCCCCAAAGAGGCAAGAAAGCATAAAATAACAAAGAATATGTAAAGTGACCATGTTGTTTAGAAAGCTTAACCATTTACTTCTTAAGACCCATCTCTAAAATAGTAACAATCCCCTACATTTGTGATAGGACCAAAGACAAAGTAGTTAGCATAATACCTATTTTACAGAACATAACACATAATAATTGGTAAAAATTACAATTATGCCTCCCTAGGGAGTTGAAAAATATTAAAAAGAAAGTGATCATTTAAAATGTTTACATATATTTAACAGCAGTAAAAATTCAGGAGACTTGTTATCTAACATGGACTGTGATGTGGTAATAAGGAGAGGATTTGGCCATGCCCCAAATCAGAGTGGCATAGTAACCTGGGGTACTTACAGCAGATCTTCATGAAGAGAAGAAAAAGAAGGAAACTGATGGAGAAAAGCAAACCCACACATAAAGTGCCAAGGAAGAAATGACAGTACCAAAATAGACGTCAAAGAGTGAAGCTCAAAGAATTCCTATATAAAAGTGCTTTTTGTAGTAGAGAATTCAGTAAAGCAAATTTTAAACACTAAGAAAACTCTTGACCTGATAAATCTTGCAATATGTGGTAACCGCCTACTTCAGCTGTGAAGGGGACTATATAGGAAGTTTGTACCTCTCAGGCAACTAGCTGATTCAAACTTTAGAGTATAAGCCACATTTTTATATATAAAAATATTGATATGATTTATTTTAGTTGTCAGAGACCAAGACAATGTTAAGAAACTCTGGGTTTGTTCCTGGGGACAAGTGGACAAACAGCTAATTTTGAGTTGAGCCACCTTTGGAAGAGGCAACCTGCCATGGGCCCTTTGTCTCTGCACATTTCTGCCCCAATGTGCACTTCCATGGCCTTTTCTCAGGGCTGTATTATGAGGCAGCTGGTAACATTGCCCCGCTATGGTGCGAACCCACTGTGTTGAAAAGCAATCACCTTGGGCCCCCTGCCATTGCCAGCTTGGGTAAGAGAGACTGAAGGAAATGTGTGCTGAGACACACACACACGCACTCATACACACAAACACTCTCACACACACTGAAACACCTTGGAGGGGCAGCAGGCAGGGGAGGCCTGCTATGCCCTATGAGGGGTAGCTCCCTGGACCCCTAGGCCACCCGGGAAGCTGCAAACTGCAGAGTCAAGAATATCTCTTCAGAAGCTGGAGATAGACCCTGAGGCGAATAAGGATCACCAGGGACTAAAGACAGCGTCTCCAGGGCCAGATGCACCGAATCAGCTAAATTGACTAAGGAAAGCATCTCACTAACTCTTTACTCCTAACTTTCAGGTTATTTACAATGTAAATCACGAACAGGGGTGCATCACACTTTTAATGACTCAATGTAGGCTTAGCTTGGAAAATGCAACTGATAGTCCCATAAATTCCTTTTGAATGAATCTGAGATGTCACTTTAAAAAACCGTAACTTTTGTTAGTGAAGTTCCTTTGCATGTATACAAAAATGAGTAAGGGTGTAGTGAGCAAAGGGAAGATGGGCCCCATGAACTCTGGTGAAGAAGTACTGATACCTTGGAGGTTGATGGGAAGTGCTAACATACATTTGAGGAGTTGTGAACCCTAAAACATATACACTGTAACCCAAGGATACCTCAGGAAAAAAATTTAATATAAAACACACTCCTATTCATGTCACTTGCTGTGCTGAGAGCAATAATCTTTGGTCTCTGACCTAAGCACCTTCTTCTGGTAGCTTCTGAATAATGTGTCATCTAATCCTAGACTTGACAGCACTTAAGGTATAACTGAACAGTGTTCCAAACACTGCACGTTTCTTCAAACACTAGGTTACTCCCTAGTTAGAAAAAATCCTTTCATTTATCCTTAAATACCGCCTAGTACAACAGAAAACAATGCATGTCCATCTTCCTTATAAATCCTGACATTTATTCTATTACTACCAAGAACTTCTAAATTTATTCTTTTCCTGAAGCAAAATTGCTTATATGAAAAACTTTTTAAAAAATTCTTTTTAAAAAGTAAAAAAAAATCTTGTAAATCTTTTGCTATCTAAAGAGTTGACTTAAAATTAAATATTTCTGCAATGGAACAAAGAAAGTTTGTTCAATACATGGTGCTGGGAACACTGAGTTGTTACATGCAAAAGAATGAAGCTAGACAACTACCTCACACCAGGCACAAAACCAAGTCAAAATGGATTACAGAACTAGACATAAGACCTGAAACCATAAAATGTACAGAAGAAAATATAGGTGAAACTTTCCATGACATACACTCAGTAACATTTTCAAAGACACATCACCCAAAGCAAAGACAGTGAAGGAAAAGATAAACAGCTGGGACAACATCAAATTAAACAGCTTCTGTACAGGGCCTCCCCGGTGGCACAACGATTGAGCGCTGGGCTGCAAAGCTGCCCACAGCCTCTGCAGCACCGATTTGATCCCTAGCCACCGGGGAGGGTCCCACATGGCACGCAGACCTCTCCTGCTGCGCCCGCTGCTCCCCTCAGCAGTGTATTTCGTCAGTCTGCCTGTTCTGTTCCCCGCTCTGGTGAATTCTCTCACCCTCCCACGCTTTTGACTGTACCCAGTGCTTGAATAAATAAATAAATCTAAAAAAAAAAAAAAAGAGCTTCTGTACAGCAAAAGAGACATTCACCAAGACAAAGAAGACACCCTACTAATTGGGAGAAAATTTTTGCACGCAATACTATTGATAATGGGGACACTGATCACAAAGATCCACAAAGAGCTGATAAAACTCAACAAAAACAAAGTAAACAACCTAGTCAAAAAATGGGCACAAGAGGGGTCTCCCTGGCGGCGCAAGGGTTAAGACGCAACCTATGAAGCAATCCGCAGCCATTGAAGCACAAGTTTGATCCCCAGCCTGCCAGGGAGCTACCCACATGGTGCAGCAGACCTCTCCAGTCTTGCCTACTGCTCCCCTCAGCAGTGTATTTCAGTCAGTCTACCTGTTCTGTTACCCACTCTGTCTCTGGTGAATCCTCTCACCCCCCACACCTCTGGCCTGTACCCCAGTTCTTGTATGCATAAATAAATATTTTTTTAAAAAATGGGCACAAGAGCTAAAAAGACACTTCTCCAAAGAGGAAATGCAAATGGCCAACAGGCATATGAAAAAATGTTCAACATCACTTTTAATCAGGGAACTGCGGATCAAAACCACAATGAGCTACCATCTTTCACCAGTGAGAATGGCACATATTAAAAAAACTAGCAACAGCAAATGTTGGCGAGAATGTGGAGAAAAAGGAACTCTCCTACACTGCTGGTGGGAGTGCAAATTGGCCCACCCAGTATGGAAAGCTGTAGGGGGGGTCCCTCAAACTGCTAAAAATGGAGCTTCCATGGGATCCAGCAATTCTACTCCCACATATCTACCCAAAGGACACAAAAACATTAAATCAAAAGGACACTTGCACCCCTATGATAATAGCAGCACTATTTACAATAGGTAAGCTATGGAAACAACATAAATGCCCCAAAACAGATCTGGATCAAGAAGATGTGGTACATATACACAATGGAATATTACTCAGCAATCAAAAAAGATAAACTCATGCAATTTGCAGCAACATGGATGGCACTGGAAGGGATCATGCTCAGCGAAATAAGCCAGAAAGAAAAAGAAAAATACCGGATGGTCTCACTCATAGCAGGAATTTAGAAAACCTAAATAAGGAACCAGGAAAAAACCTAATTATAATAAAGTAAAAATCAAAATCAACAAGCAACTATAAATCACAGAAACACTATGGGGGGGAGGAGGGGTAAGATTAAAACAAGGGGCGTGGGAATTGTACAGGGACTATAACCAAGATGAAAATGCATACACTGTGCAAAAATGATACATATACACAATGGAGTATTACTCAGCAATCAAAAAAGATAAACTCTTGCCATTCACAGAAACATGGATGGAGCTGGAAGGGATCATGCCCGGTGAAATAAGGCAGAAAGAAAAAGAAAAATACCAGATGATTTCACTTTAAGGAGGAATGTAGAGGATCCGAAAAGGGATCAGGAAAAAAAAAGTAATTATAATAAAGTAAAAATCATAATCAACAGGCAACTATAAACCAGAGACATTCTGCAGTGGGGAGGAAGGAGTAGGATCAAAATAGAGGTGGGAAGAGTACAAGAGATCATGGTGATGGTACATGGGTGAATGGGTGGTGGGAATTTCACGGGGACTATGCCAGAGATGAGCAAGCACACATTGTATAAAAATGAAGACTGATGTAAATAATACATAAAATAATAAAAAAATTAATTAAAAAAATATAAATAAAAATTAAGTATTTCAAGTTCTTCATACATTGGAGCTTCCATGGGATTACCAAATCTCAGAGAAATCTCAGAGAAAGTCTTACCTGCTCCAGCTGGGTGGCAAATGCGATGGTCACAGACATAATGAAGGAGTCAGTACAACACTGTGCTGGTCCGATTTGATGGTAACCTTCCTCCTCATTCAGCACGGCCACTATGTCCTTGGGGTCAAGTCCAGACAGGCTGGCAGGTACTTTATGGAGAAAAAACATAATTAAACTACATGACAGCTTGCCATAAATCATTATAAAATTCTGAAAGCTAGCAATGCTTTCGTAATATGCCGAAAGTTGTCATGGGTAGAGCGCAACAAGGTTTCCTTTGATTTTTTCAGGCATTCTCCAAAGCAATCTTATTTAACCCCCAACTCCCTTTCTGCACATAAAAGCCGTATTTTAAAAGAAGATTACATTTTTAAAATTTCGACTGAGTAAGTCAAATAGAAAAGGCATTATAGGTTTCTTGAAGGATGTAAATCTAAACTGGGAACTGAAAAAAAAATTTGCTAAAAAGAGAAAGGTGACAAAATAGAGAATGAAGGAATGGAAAAATAGTGTTCCAGGAGGAAGGAACAATATGTACAATGACTCAGAAGCAAGAAAGCAGGTTGTTAGGAAAGTGAATTAGGCCTGGTGCGCTGAGTCACAGACATGAGAACTGACACAGAAAGAGCTGATGTTGGAGGATGAGCAGAGGCCACATCATAAATGACCTCCCCAAGTGCCATTCTGAAACACTGGAATATTATAAGAGAAAACTATGAAACAATTTTGAGGAGAGAACCAGAATAATTGACTTTAATATGAAGAGACAAAAGAGGGATGGCTTTTTCAAATTGCTGGAAATGAACAAACAAAAAAACCCACTAAATGCAACTAAAATAAGACAATAGTCAGTATTCAGGATAAAGTAGGGAAGTGAGCATTCTCCACGTTGGTAGGTATAGACTAGTACATTTTGGGGGGCAATACATCAGGGCTCATCATATTTTATATATGTATACCCTATAAACAAGCAATCTTCTTTTAGCAGTTAATCTGAAGAAATATACTTACTGCAACACTGGCTGAAATAGCATAGTGGTAAAGAGCACAGACACGTCACACAGACCAAGGTTCCAATCACTGCTCTGCCATTTACAATTTACGGGGAAACTATAAAATCTCCTTTAATTTCCATTTTCCTTCTATAATACTTTTCCAGTGTTGAGAAGATGAATTAAATAACAAAAGTAAAGCACTTAGCATAGTCTCTGACAATTTACTAAAAAGGCAGCCTATTAAATAGTAAGGTTTGCAGAGCTTAGATGTGAACTTAGTAACTGTGACAGGTCTCTTACTGTGAGGGAAGAGTTAAAGGTATGGAAAGGGGAAACTAGTAAATCTTGCTCAGGATTAGATGGGCTGAAGGTATAATGTGCGTGTATGTTATTCAATATGCATGTATAAAAAGAGATATAAAGGTGTATGTATAGATATATACTCGCATGTGTGTGCAAGTATATGAAAAGACATGCACAAATTCCCTAATTTTTTCCCCTAAAACTGGGAACAGGGATATGGTAGCAGTTGGCATTCCTAGCACCTGGGTCCTCACTACTAAACATCATTTACTAGAAGAAAACGAGGTTCCTTAAGCAGCAAATCGAAGGCTCAAGCAGAGAAAGGTTAACATGAGCATGGAACATCTTATGCAAGAAAACAAGAAAACAATTAAAGAATTATGGAGACAGTCCAAAGGAAAAAGAAGCACTTTATAGGAACTCCCACTGCTCACATCTGGAACAAACAATGATTGAGTTAAAGATTTGAACCCACTACATAGAGAAAACCTAAGTCCACACTTACACAAAGTGAGTGAATGAATCCACTGAAGCCTAAATGAGAAATGAATATTTTCATTATAATTCTGTCTCTCCAAGTATTTATTATTTGTAAATGAAAAGAAAGAGCTCACAGTTGAGAACAGACATGCCCCACCTTAATTAAGCTCTCTAAGTGAACATCATCAGTCATTGAACAAATAAGAACTGTGCACCACCTGATGAGATGCAATGAGAGGACTATCACTTCTACGCTGCTCCTGCCAAAGATGTAGAACCTCAATCTACTATCAGAAAAACCCCAACAGGACAAAGGCACAGGCTCCCCAATAACTGAAACCTAATTATAGGACTATGGAGTGTTTCTTCTCCCATGCACTTTACCACTCCATTACTAAAGGCTTAATTTCCTTTTGCCAGGTATATCACAGCCACCTTTAAAAAAAAAAAAATCAGGGTATACTAAGTGACAAAAAGGAAACAACAACAACAAAAAACACTGACAAGAAAGCAATACTCTAACTTGCCATCTTAGGAAAACAAAAGAAAGAAATTAAATTTAAAGTATGCAGAAGAAATAATAAAAACTACAACTGAGGCAGTATAGGAAAGTCACATCACCAAGATGGTGACAGAGGACATTCCTTTCCTCCCAAAAGGAATAATTAACAAGGAGACAGAAAGAGACACAATTCAAAGAATCACACAGTATCACGTAAGACAAACACCTCAGAGACCAGTAGACTACCCGTGGCTCCAGGGCAAAGGACACAGGAGCAGGGCAGCTGACCCAGCACAGGAGACCATGGAGAGAGAATGGACACAAACGCTGTTGGTGAAGAAGAAGCCAGCAGCCAATGAGCCAGTGTGCTACAAGGAAGACAACACAGAAAGTGCTCTAGAACATACTCTCCTTCCCCACCAGTCCAGAACATTATGTGGAGTGAAATAAGTCAAAAAGTGAAACACAGATATCGGATGATTTCACTTCTCTGAGGACTATAAATACCCAAGAAATACTCAGACTCAAAAACTATTGGAAATGGGGCCTCCCTGGTGGCGCAGGCGGTTGAGCGCCGCACTGTGAAGCTGTCTGCAGCCTCTGCAGCACGGGTTCAATCCTGGTCCGCCGGCGAGAATCCCACATGGTGCAGCAGACCTCTCCTGCCACGCCCGCTGCTCCCCTCAGCAGTGTATTTCTTCGGTCTGCCTGTTCTGTTCCCTGCTCTGTCTCTGGTGAATCCTCTCACCCTCCCGTGCATCTGGCCTGTACCCCAGTTCTTGTATAAAAATAAATAAATCTTTAAAAAAAAAAAACTATTGGAAATGAATCTTGAACCCAACAAAAAGAGAATATAATGGTTACCAGAGGGAATGGGAGTGGGGAGGGAAAGAATGAGGGAGGAAAATAGAGGGGGTATGAGCATGAGTAGTTTGAGTAGCATGAGTAGTTTGGTGGAAAGTATAAAAAACAGAAAAGGAAAAAGCAATCAGATACTGTGCTTTACTTAGTACAAAGCGTCACATTATACAGTATAACAGCTTGTATTTATTGCTATTTAAAGTAACACTAAGTGAATATTAATACTGTATGATTTATATTTTCACATGTATAGTGGAAATTCTACAATTTTACATACTTAAAGCTTAAGAATGGGTTGCAGTCTACAAATATCCATGTGTATTGCAACATTAGCCAAGAACTATAATCTACACAATGGAATACTATTCAGATATACATATATATTTATAAATACATATTTTATTACTATTTATATATATAAATATATTTATATAAAGATGCAATTCTGTCATTTGCAAAAACATGATGAACCTAAAGTGTATTATACTTAGTAAAATAACTCAGAGAAAGAGAAACACAGTATGATTTTACTTATATGTGGTATATAGACAAGACAAATGGATGAACTAAACAAAACAAAGTTTTATACTACATGAAAAGTTAGTGGTTACTAGAAGGAAAAGAAGTGGGAAAGTCAAGGAAAAGGGGACAATTGTACGGCGAAAAACAGAATGGGACTTTTAGTGGTGAGCTTTATGTATTATGTACACAGTATGATATTTAATGATGCACACCTGAAACTTAACATAATACAATATTACTTCAGTGGAAAAAACTCAGAAATCAATTAAATTAAAATAGAAAATCACCACAGGAAATCTAAAAAACAAAAACTTGTTCTCTAAAGACAGGAAGAAAATTAGTAACTCTCTAGCCAGTACATAAGCGAAAAAAGTGAGAAGACACATGGTATGAATATCAGAAATAAAAGGTGACATCACTACAGATGTCCACAGACATTAACAGAATAAGTAAATACTAGGAACAATTTTTCCCCACAAATTCGAGAAGCTAGAAGAAATGGATGAATCAATTCCTTTAAAGACAAAAATCTACCAACATAAGAAATAATCTGAATAGCCTTGTACCATTTAATTGTATCAATAATAACTTTTCAAAATAGAAAGCATCAGGACCAGACTGGGTTTACTGATGAATTCTACCAAACATGCAAGAAAGGTATTATACCAATCTCTACAATCTTTTGCAGAAGATAGAAGCAGAGGGAATATCTCCTAACATATTCTCTGACACAAGTATTTGACTAATATCAGGGGTTAAAGTCTCAGTTACAGCAGCACCATGAGCTCGATCCCTGGCCAAGGAGTTAACCCACATGGTTCAGCAGACCTCTTCTGTCTTACATGCTGCTCCCCTCAGCAGTGTATTTCAGTAGACTGCTACCCACTCTGTCTCTAGTGAATCCTCTCACAGACCCCACCCCTGAACCTCTGGACTACACCCAGTTCTTGTATGCATAAATAAATAAAAAATAAATCTTTACAAAAAAAGGCAAAGGTAATACAATGGAGCAGTCATTTCAACAAATGGTGCTAATACTGGAGATCAACATGTACAAAACATACTCTAAACACAGGCCTTACACCCTTCACAAAAATCAACTCAAAATGCACCGACTCAAAATGGATCACAGAACTAAGTGTGAATTCCAAGAAGTTAACAGAAAAGATTATCTAGAAAAGTCATAGATGACCTTGGGTATGATGATGACTTCTTAGATAGAGTACCAGAGCCATGATCTGTGGAAGAATTGATAAGCTGGTCTTGACAAAAATTTAGAAGCTTGCTAATAAAAGATATTATCAAGAGGATGGCAAAACAGACAGACTTGGAAAAAACATCTGCAAAAGACAAATCTGCTAAAAACTATTATTCAAAACGTATTCAATGTATTCAAAAACTCTTAAAACTCAATAAATAGAAAATAAGCTACTGATTAAAAATAGGAAAAGACCTGACCAGAAAGCTCACCAACAAAGACACACAGATGGCAAGGAAGAATATGAAAAGATGTTAATACCATATATCATTAGGGGAATAAACACTGAAACAACAGCAAGATACCAGGACATATATATTACATTAGTCAACCTCTAACACTGACATAATCGAGTGCTGACAATGAAGTGGAGCAACAGGAACTCTCACTCATTACTGGTGGAAATGCAAAATGGTACATTTACTTTGAAACAGTTTGGCAGTATCCTATAAAACTAAACATATTTCTACCAGAAGAGCTAGTGATCACATTCAATATTTATTCAAATGAACTAAAAACTAATGACCACACAAAAATAAGCACAGGAATGTTAACAGCTTTATTTCTAATTGCCAAAACTTAGAAATAACCAACATGCCTTTCAGTCAATGAGCGGAAAATCAAATATAGTAAATCCAGAGAACTGAGTATTATTTAGTGCTAAAAAGAAATGAGGATATCAAGGCATGAAAAGACATAGAGAGATATGAAAAGCTCATTACTAAGTGAAAGAAGGTAATCTATAAAAGCAATGTACTATGATTCCAACTATAGGAACATTCTAGAAAAGGCAAAACTAGGGAAATAGTAAAAGATTAGTGGCTGCCAAAGGTTAGAGGGGAGGAAGGGCTGAAGCAGGACAGCAGGAGGACTTTTAGGGCATTGAAACCAAATCTACCGTGTAGGATACTAACACCATGCATTGCCAAGGTAAGGTACAGCACCAACAGTGAACCCTAATGTAAACTATGGACTTTGGGTGATAATGAAATGTCAGTGTAGATTCATCACTTGAAACAAACGTACTACCATGGTGAGGGAAGCTGACAGTGAGTGAGGTTTTGGTGGCAAGGAGAAAAGGTGGGGGAGGCTACAGGTTATGTGGAAACTATACTTTCTACTCCATTTTGCTGTCAACCTAAAATTGCCCTAAAAATAAAGTTTACTGATTAAAAAAGAAACAAACATGAAGTTTTTGTTAAGTTATAGTTGAGTTAACAGAGAACAGCATAATCATTTCTGGCTTTCCGGAACTCTTCCTAGGAAGAAAATTTTCCTAAGCCGCTTTTTTTTTTGAAAATACAAAATTCTGGTATGTACACACAATGGAGTATTACTCAGCAATCGAAAAAGATAAACTCATCCCATTGAAGGGATCATGCTCACTGAAATAAACCAGAAAGAAAAAGAAAAATACTGGATGATTTCACTTATAGGAAAAATGTTAAGGATCCAAATAAGGGATCAGGGGATTAAAAAAAAAGTTATTATAATAAAGCGAAAATCAAAATCAACAAGCAACTATAAACCATAGGTATTTTGCAGGGGGGGAAGACGGGAATAGGATCAAACCACCAGGGGTGGGAAGAGCACAAGGGACTATGGTGATGGGACACAGGTGAATTGGTGGTGGGAATTTCATGGGAACTATAACAGAGATGAGAAAGCATACAATGTAAAAAATATATAAAATTAAAAAATAACTAAAAAAAATAGACAAAATTCTAGTTTGTTCTGATATACACCAAACTAAAAAAAAAAAAAATCTTTTCCCTATTTCTAAGTTTTGTGAACAAATGTTGCTAATGTAACGTCACGTCATTTGTCCCATGCAGTAGAACACAATCAGTTGACACTCCTGTATCTATCTGCCTACAATACTCTCCCCCTTCCTAAAGTTCTAGTCCAAAAATGGAATTTTTCAAAGAATACCCTTAGAGATGATGCACAAACCTTTTCCATCACGAGGGGGAGCTCCCTTTGCTTTAAAACTATCCACTGGCGCCTTTGTATCTGTTTCCAAAGCAATGCTTATCTGTATTTCAGACTTGAACTTGGTGTATTTATTACTCAGCAGCTGGTACCATTTTGGTGCCTACAGAGTAACAACAAAACAAAACAACATAACACCTTAATTGTTATTGGAAAATAAACAGTGGGAAATGTTCTATAAGGGTCTAAATATATTTCCTGTACTTTCTCAATGTTTTTTTCCTCTCAACATTCTTTTTCTTCATTTTCCTCAAAGGATATTAATTTTCCCTAGAAGGCATCTGAATTTTCCCTTGAAAGCAGTAAGGAAAAGTTTAGATTGTCTGCCTTACTTCCATTACCTTTCACATGTAAATGGGAAGAAAACAATATATTTCCTTTTACTTTTCCTCTTATGTCCCAAACTCACCTCTTAAACAACAAAAAAGACCACCGGTTTTTTCCCCAATTCCTATTTTTTTTACTTTTTATGTTAAGTATTTTTGCCTGCCACTTCTCTGCTATGTTGTATTTATATCAAATAAGGAAAAGAAAACTTCAGTGTGAATAAAAACACTAAGAAGGGCCTCCCTGGTGGTGCAGGCGGTTGAGCGCAGCGCTGTGAAGCTATCCATAGCCTCTGCAGCACGGGTTCGATCCCCGGCCGGCCAGGGAACAACCCACATGCCTCAGAAGACCTTCCCTGTCTCACCCACTGCTCCCCTAAGCAGTATATGTCAGTCAGTCTGCCTGTTTTGCTCCCCATTCTGCCTCTGGTGAATCCTCTCACCCTCCCACATCTCTGGCCTATATCCCAGTTACTGGGAAAAAAAAAAAAGCAACTAAGAAAATACTAAAATAAAACCAAATGATAGAATTTGGGGTCATGAACCACGTACCTACTTCAGTGGGAAATACAGAGTTCTTCTACCAAAATAAAATATCCTAAATTACCTGACTGATCCCCCCTCAGAAATTCTAGTACCCAAAGACGCCTGCCAAATCTCATGGTCCTTGACTTCCTCTATCAATAGTATAGAACCACTGGTCAGCAGGGACACCACCTCAATGCTTAGTATTACAGTGCCAAGTAAGAATGCTGTTCTTACTCTGATTACTGTTAAATTAAAGCAAAGTAGTATATATGTTTATACTGCTCAAAACAAAAACTTCTATTTTATATTCAAGTTATGTCTGACAGGTAAAATAGGATAGTTAGGTAACAGATTTCCGAAAAATCCACAACCAAATTTTTTTAAAGACAGAAATTCAAACTATACTTTGTGGCTGCATTTCTTGTGAAAGCTATTTTCTAGTATCAAGTATAAGCTGGAAAAGATTTATAGCTACTTGAAGAATTTATGGATGTCTGTTATGTATCTCAGAAAAATAATTCTGGCTTTTTCTACATGTATAATCTTTTATAGAAAATCTATTTTTCTACTGGCTAATTTCAAATATTTCTGCTGGCAAACTGAAGAAAGTAAGACGTTCGGTTTTACTAAAATTCACATTATTTTGAAACATTCTTCCTAAACTTTAATCACACAATGATGATGAAGGGTCCTGAACACTTAGGCAAGGGGAAAAAGAAGTGCCAAAATGTTCAGAGACATAAGCTCATCTCAGATGTCAGCCTATGAGGATTTTCCTTCTTTGTAACGAAGTGACTGCAGAAGCGCCTACCAGTCACATGCAAGGTGCAGCAGAATGGGTCGATAAGAGAAACATGAGAGGCATAATCAGGGACCCTGGTTTAGGACTAAAGAAAGGAAACCATTTTCTGGACCTAGGGCTAGAGAAAGAGAGAGATGATGAGCACCCAAGGATGAAGGGGAAGATGTACTCTTTTAAAGTATTTTGAAAACTGCTATTTGTTTTGAACGAGTCCATATTTGGACCTGGCTAATTTGCAAATGTCATTGCAATTATGATAGCAATAATGATAGTAATTAACAAATTTTTTTTCACAAGTCAAATCAAGAATATAGGAAAATAAAAAGTGAAAGTTTTTTTTAGTTTTTTTCTTAAGAAAATTGTGACAAAATAGGCATTAAGATAAGTGAAAGTAAGCATTTCTAAAGTGAATCCTGGACAAAAAAAGTTGAAAGATAAAATGACTTAAACATTTTGAAGTACAAGAAGCAGAGACACAGGAATCAAAACCCTGCATTTGTGCTTTCCTTTTTTCTGTTTAGTGTGTGTGTGTGTGTATACTGTTTACATAGAACATAAATGTGTTTTGGTACGTTCACTTACTCCATTATGTAAGGAACACAAGGAGTGAGAAGCAGGAAAAGTAACTAGACTACTATGACAGCCCAGGTAAGAAATGATGGCGGCTTAGGTTGGGGAGCAGCAGTGGAAATTCAGAATAGGGAAAAGATCAGGAGGAAAAAAAGAAAACAACTGGATAGGGAAGGTGTAAAGACTTCTGTATTTCTAGCTTGCACAGCTAAACGGAGAGTGTTGACCATTCCGTGAAGCAAGGACCTCACCTTTGAAAGCAAAGCTCAGGAACTGAATATGTTAAACTAAGGTAGTTTCTTTCCGAAAGCTGGTTCTAGAGCAAAGGCATGACTAAACGGTCAGGATTTTTAAACCATTCACGAATGAAAACATAAGAACTGCCATATGGACTCAAGTCCCTGATCTGTGAGGTCCAGTATTTTCCATCAATCTGACACTCAAATCAATATAGTCATAACAAAACAATGAAAGGACTGTACCTGCTTTGTTTCTTGAGCGGTTCTTAAGTCTAGAACAATGTAACCTATAGTTTCTTTGGCAGAGGATAAAGGATCCAAGGCAAAACACTGAAGTTTGATAGGAGTACGCTGCAACCTGTAACAACAATTGAAGTGTAAGATAGCTTTTGCTGAACATCAAATTGATTTTCTATTACCCCTGATAAAGCTGCTTACAATCAAGACAATGATAATTTTGTTGAATTACCTATATCTATTCTGTACATCTAAAACATTCTTCAATTGGCAAGAACTGTTAATTATGTCTAATTATTGATCACCAACTAAGTGATATACAAATCATGTTAAAAACTATAGTTTCCCTCATGTCAGAGGCTCATTTAGGTCAATGTTTCTGTAATATAAAGATCTCTTTTAAATTAAACAATTATCATGAAATCTCAACATTGAGTTAGAACTGTTTTTCTTATAGTATCACACACACATAAAGCCACAAGTATACATGTTTATAGCTTATTACAGCTAAAAAAAAAACCAAAACCCACAAAATAAACTTAAGAATTAAATACCCACAAGTCATAAATAACTAAAATTAGATGAACAACAATGTAAGGCAGCACACAACAATGTCCTATAAGTGTGGCATTCACTGGTGTGACATGAGCTCCTTTTGCATCTGGAATCTCTACACTGGCTCACACCATAAGTGGATCAGATATTGCCATCAATTTTACCTAGTGGGATGACTATCAAATGTAACCTGGCCACAAAATGATCATTTATATATTCAGCTTATCCCTGTTATTTTCTCAGTCTAGGATAATCCGAGTATTACCACTAGCACTAAAACAATTGGAAACACAACCACTAATGCAGGCATTACTATCTCATATCAAGACTCTGTCTATAAACATATATCCCAGAAGTCAGTGAAAGAAAATACACAATTTTGATATCTGAGAATTTAACACCCCTTCAAATAAATCCATGTGGTGGTAGATTTTTGTAGCAATAAAAGAAATGTCTCGCTTTAATTTTTTGAACTTTGCGTTCTGATTAGATTTAATACTAGAAAGAGCAAGTATGACATGATTATATGTCTTCTAGTCCTTTTTTAAGGAATGCTTTTTTTTTAAAGATTTATTTATTTATTTATACAAGAACCGGGGTACAGGCCAGATGCGCGGGAGGGTGAGAGGATTCACCAGAGACAGAGCAGGGAACAGAACTGGCAGACTGATGAAATACACTGAGGGGAGTAAGGGGAGTAGCAGGCGCCACAGGAGAGGTCTGCTGCACCATGTGGGACCCTCGATGCTGGCCAGCAGCAAACAAGCACTTCACAGCATGGTGCTCAACCGCCTGCATCACCAGGGGAGGCCCAGGAATGCTTTTTTAAAAAAAAAATTACTGTTCTTATTTCCTTCTGGTTGTGAGATCATAAAATATGAGGCAATAACTTTATTTTATGTACTAATAAAGTATTTCAATGTCGAAAAGCAAAGGTAAGAGTTTCTTATATAATTGCTTTCATAACTTTTCACTGAATACCTCTATATAACCTGGACACTGTAGATACAATATACAATAAAATAATTAAAGTTTCAATGAATTCTAGCTCATTAATTATTGGGCAGGCATGATTATGGCAATTCCAGATTGTCTATTCTCCCAAATTAGCAAGGAAAAAAAAGAAAACTAGTTTAAAGTTTCAAAGTTCAGGCTCGAGTTGGAGTTCAGATTCTTCCATTGACTTAGGCAAGTTACTTTACCTCTTAGACTTCAGTTTTCCCATCTATAATACAGGAGAAATAATACCTACTTCATAGGATTGCTCTGCTGTATAAATAAAGTTGTTGCAAAGTACTCTGAAAATTTCCTGGCACATTAAAACAAATGCTCAACAAATATTTTTATTGCCACAGTAAGGGATATAAATTGATCTATTTATTTATAACAGCCCCCCAAAAGGATAGAATTGAAAACTACAGTCACCTGTGCTGATGAAGTGCTTTCCTGTCAATTTCCCAGGCTAACTCAGTAGCAAATTCTGGCTGGTCAGTATGGTCCACAGGATCAGTAGCCAATTGTTCTCCATCGAATTTTGCTTCTACTATAAGCATATGCTTTGGACGTTTGGGGAAATGGCGACCTGGCAAAAAAAAAAAATGCTACTGGTTAATCAGAAGTATACAAAAGTTAAATATGATCATTTAGCATGTATATTAAAAATGGATATATATTAAGACAATGACTTATGTATTCTACACACTACCTTATTAACACACATGTACACATACACTCAATTTCATGATTCACAGGAAATGTGAATGAAATTTAAAGCTAATGATTTACATATTAATGCTTCTCAGCCAGAGAGCGCATCTGAATAGCCTGGGGATCCCTTAAAATATAGATTCTGGTTAAGTAGGTCTAGGGTGTGAGTGCATATTTAATAAGCTCTCAGGTGATGTCAATGTTGTGCGTGGTTCCCACTTCGAGTAGCAAAACTCATTAACATTTAGCGATCAAAATGTAATTACACCAATTTTAGATATTACCATACTAGTAGTTAATACAGAACAAAATCAATTTTCAGTTTCAAAGTTCATACCTGTTAACTCAGGTATTAAGTCTGCAAATAAGCCAAAGAAAAATATGTATTCATTCAATTCCCTGTCCTCGTTCTATTTTCAAGGACAACAGTGTATATTCTCAAGAAATATTAGCACATTCTCTCGACATCACTTTTCATTTGTGCCACCTGTTCCTTCACTCTACCTTCAGAGTTAAGCATCATGGCAGACAGTGCGATGCCTCAAAGGAATTGAGGGTTTAGGGGGGAAAACGAACTCAATAGAGGTAGCTCAAGAACTAAGGAAAAAGCACTGAGAATCTTATACTGTTATCAAGCTGTTTATAGGTGTGGTGGACATGATCTTGGTGAGTCTCACCAAGGTTAAATAAATCCCTGCTTTTACCCACAAATGCCTAAATTAAGAATCAAGCAGGTCAGAAAGATCTTGATTGCAAACCTGTGTTTCAACCTGAGGCTTTCATCTGAAGCTCCCTATTAGGAATCTTAACACATATGCCAAAGCTCTCCCAATTAGCACTCCCCGAGGCCTCTCTCTGGACCTCATTTTTAGCTGTTCGAAAATATCACTAGGTTCCCCAAATGAATTTCATGTATGTCAAGAAAAGCTATATTTCCAGCCAGACTCTCATTACTATAACCACAGACAATGAGTACCTTGAACAGAAACCCTGTCTTTTTCAACCTCAGAAATTACTATGTAGCCCAAATTTTGCTCATAGTACAAACACAATCATTTTCTTTTGAATAAAGGACATGTATGGCATCATGAGGAAACTGCAAAACAACTTACGAAGATACCACAGGAGGGGAGATGAGGCTAAAAAGGTAGTCGACCATGAAAGGCTAAGTACGCTATTTGAAGAAGTACAGCCTTTAGGGTGAAGTCTTTAAAAAAAATTAGATTTGCACTTCAGAAAGATTATCCCCAGATAGTAATATGAAACATACTACTGAAAAGATTATTACAACAGATGAAGTAGATAATGAGGATCCTTGGCCAGGGCATTCACAATTAAAGCAATCACTTAAGAGTTTTACGTTACACCTATTTTTTTTAAAGATTATTTATGCATACAAGAGCTGGGGTGTAGGCTACAGGTGGGGGCGGGGCGGTGAGAGGATTCACCAGAGACAGAGTGGAGCAGAACAGGCAGATCTACTGCAATACCCTGCTGAGGGGAGCAGCAGGCAAGAAAGGAGAGGTCTGCTGAGCCATGCAGGTTAGCTCGCTGGCAAGGGATCAAACTCGTGCTGCAGTGGCTGCCCAACAGCTTCATAGTGCTGAAATTTAACCCCCTGCACCACCAGGGAGGCCCCACACTTTCTATTATTTAAAAAATAAAATCAACAACGCTTGGTGACCATTTTGAAAAGGGGGTGGAGAGGGAATTCAGGATGAGAATAACAGGTTCCTGGCATGGAAATACAGCCATCAGTTAGTTTGAAACTAGGACCACATGCTAGTATTAGATGTTTATGGTCATGACCCCTGAAGCACCTTCCCAACTCCAGGCTCTCCTGCCTGCATGCTGCTACTAAATTAAACTTATGGAAGACATTCTCCTATTTAGGAACATATTTGGCCACCTACTGTTTTGCACAATAAATCTAAACTCCTTGGCTTTCAAGATCCTCCATGGTCCACTCATTTTAATTACTAAAAGCTTATTCTCACCATGATTTCTAAATATTTCTTCCCCTCTCTCCTGGTCATCCTGCTGACCTCTTCACTGTTCTACCCTCCATGCTCACACTTACATTGATGTGTCCAATTTCCTGGAATGACTTTCTTCTATCCTGAACTATTTAAAGCTTACTTACCACGCAAGCCAATTCAGTCATGATACCCACCCCCAACCCCCAAAGTGTGTTTTCAACCCCTTAATTATTTTTACTACTTTATTAATGCCAAGATACTAGGAGTTGAACACTGACTTTTGCAAGTAGATCTACATTTTTGAAGAGAAAAAGAGCCTGTATGTGTTTCCTCACTGCACAGGCCACGCTGTTCCAAAAGCAAATGCTTTTGCTAAGTAAATTACAAGTGGGTTTCAGTCCCTTCTTTAAACAATCAGCAACATAACAGTTAAAATTGCCCTAATTCTTTATGGCATCTGATCAGCCTATTGTTTCCAAACTCAAAAATTAGGTTTAGAATGTTTTCTTCCCTCTCGCCCACCAAATAAAGCCAGGCCTCCACTAGCTACCATGGGGGTAAAACAAATCGCTATTTATCACTCAGACCCATTCAAGATAACTCCTTTTTGTCACCTTATTCGTGCCCTCCACTATCCTACTCTCTGCTCTTTGAGCACAATGAATTAGGTAATAGCAGAAGAGTCCTTGGTGTTTTTTGTTTTTTTTTTTAAACACTTTAAGAGCTCTTTGTTCTTCCCTTAACTGGAATGTCTTTCCTTGCTTTTTTTCACCTGATAAATTTCTAATATTTCTTAAGGACCCAAATTAAGTATCACTTCTTTTGGGAAACCTTCCCCATTTTGCCCTGACAGAGCGGTCATTCCCTTTACCACCCACTTACGAATGGTTATTACATTTGTCAAGCTACACCTTCAGCTGATAGAACCTGAACTTGTTTCATTCTTAGATTCCCAGAACAGTGTCTGCCACCAAGTCCCTGATAAACAAACGTCAGTCGTGCAACCAACCAAACTTCAAGATGCGTACAACAGGCCCCCTTGACAACCACAACCGCAGCCCTCTAGGTCTCGGATCAAAAACGATTACGGTCAAAATAAGGGAGGTGGGAATTGTATGGGGGGACTATAACCAAGATGAAAATGCATACATTGTGCAAAAATGAAAAATGATGCAAAAAATACATAAAATAAAAATGAAAAAAATAAAGATTAAATTAAAAAAAAAGACAAAGGGAGCGTCTCCGCACTAAATCTTAAAATTGCAGGAAACATGTATTTGCGTGAAAGCAAAGTTCTTAAAAAGGGTATAACCACCATTTCTCATTTTTGCACAATGTATGCATTTTCATTTGGGTTATATTCCCCATACAATGATGTAAGAATTATATAAAAAATAAAATATAATATAATAAAATAAAATGAATGTAAAAAAAGGGGAGGGGGGTTATTATTGGGCCTCCCTGAAGCAAACGTGCTTCCCAGGCTCTCTCTCATCGACTTGCAGCTTCTGAGGGAAATCGTTTTATTCCACCTCTCTGGGGCCACGGCTCGTCGTGCTAAATATCATCCATCCCTAATAGCTCTCACCCTCCCTGGAGGAATGTTTAAATCAATTGCCTAACAGCCCTTTCTACGCACAACTTTGCACCAGTCCTTGGGGACCCGAAAAGCAGAGATGACAGGGTCCTCACTCAGGGTGAACAAAGCTTCAGCCTCACAGGCCCCCTTCAAATCCGGGGAGCAGCAGCCCCCCAAAAGCAAGCCCCGGGCCGCTCACCTTCCAGGATGGACACGACGATGAGCAGCTGGTCGGACTTGGAGACCATGGTCGCGACGCGCGGCCCGCAGGCGGGGTCTGCTGGGGGGAAGAGGGACCGGGGTGAGCCGCGGGCGGCCCGCGCCCCCGGCAGGACCCCCGGGGGGCCCCCCGCGCCCGCCCACGGCCCTGGCCGCCAGGACCCCGCGCCGCGGCTCCGCGCCCGCAGCCCGTCCGCCTCCCCTGCCCGGGGCCGCCAGAGCCGCCCGACGCGCGCCCCGACTCGGAGTGAAAGCCGCGCCGCCACCCGGCCGGGCCCGTCCGCGGGGAGAGGCGAGCCCGCCGCCAGGGGACCTTTTGCCGCCTGCTCAGCCGCTTTTTCAAACGCCCGGGCAGCCGCAGCGGCCGCCGCCGCGCCCCGCTTCCGCCTAGCAACCAGGCCCGCAGGCCCAGCGCCCGGGGAAGGCTGGAGGACAAAGGGTGATAGAGACCAGGGGAGCGGAGGATAGAACGCCCCTCCATCCGCGGCGCCTCCTGCCCTTTTACGCTTCGCTCCAGAGCCCGAGGGAGGCGACTACGCCACTAATCCACAGCGCCCCCTGCCGGCCAGACGGGGGAAGGCGGGCGAGCGGGAGGGAGCGACTGCGCAGGCGCGCTACCGCCGGCTACGCTTCCTGACCGCCCGACCAGGAGCGGGTGTAGCGCAGGCTCCGCTTAATGCGCAGGAGCTGCTGCAGCAGGAATGCAAACGACGCAACGTAGCTCCGTTCCGCCCCGTTGTGTCAACAGTTCAAAAATCAAATCATAGGAAAATAGTGACTCAGATCAGAACTCTAATATCCCCCCAAAATGATCCTCGCGCGGCCCCTCAAGTGGATTTCTTCGGAATCTATTAGCGTCAATACGGTAATTACTGTAACTGTTGACAGTGACGTGAACGCCCCCAGAATTTCCTGTACATTAGACATTACTCTAAAACAAAACATTGTCACGTGAGCAGGGGAATTAAAGGTTCTTTAGCTCCCGACTACAAAGGACGTAATTTGCAAAATGAAGACCAAAAATTAAGGCCAGGCATCTACATCCTGTCATCAGATCTTTTTTTTTTGACACCCCCCCTCTAAGCTTCAGACTTTATTTAGGAGACATTGGATTTGGGAGGTGATCTACCGTGCAACTGGACTGAGCTGGGGTGGGCCGCGGGAGGAAGAGAAAAAGAGAGCAATTGCACTCCCTACCTCCCTGCTTTGGGGCCAGAAGAAAGGGGGTATAGAGGTTGCACTGGAAATGATTGCTTCTAAGACCTTCTCAGGCCCCCTCGGAAGCCTTCCAGAAATGAAGTATTATTCAATGTAAGTTCAGCGTGGTGAACTTTGGGCTCTTCGTGAAACAATGCGTTCTTTGGTGGGAGTGTCGAACAGACTCGAAAGCAGGCAGACTAAATATAATGAACGTGCAGGTGCCCAGAACACAGTTTGAATTGTCAACAAGGATCAGTCATCTTCTTTGCTTTATCTTGAAGGAAATCCCTGATAGCGTATCAATTCATCTCTTTCAATATGTACCTCCAAAAGATAAAAACCTTTTTAAAAAATCTTGAAATATTACTTCATCACAATTCCATTATTAAACCTAAAAAATTAATCATAATTCCTTAATTCAATGAAATATACATGCCAAAGTTCCCTGATTGTCTAATAATTGTTTTTTAGATGGAGTATTTGATTCAGGATGCAAACAAGTTGCACAACATAATGTATTTGTATTCTTAATTCTTTTTTTTTTTTTTTTTTTTATAGAGGCATGTTTTATTTATTTATTTTGTTTGTTTGTTTTGTTTATACATGCACTGGGTACAGTCAGAAGCGCGGGAGGGTGAGAGAATTCACCAGAGCCAGAGCAGGGAGCAGAGCAGGCAGAAGGACCGAAGTACACTGCTGAGGGGAGCAGCGGGTGGCAGGAGAAGTCTGCGCGCCATGTGGGATCCTCCGCCGGTGGCCGGGGAGCAGCCGGGGATCGAACCGGCGCCGCAGAGGCTGCGGGCAGCTTCGCAAGCCAGCGCTCAACCGCTGCGCCACCGGGGAGGCCCTGTATTCTTAATTCTTTATTGCAGTAATGTGGGTTGTTTAATATACTGCATAAGTTTCAGCTGTGCTTTGGTTCATCAACCCTTGTAAGTGCTACATTATGAACATCACCAAAAGTCTAGTTTCTATACACACCATGCAACTGTCCGCTTTATCCTTTCAACCTGTGTTCCTATCCCCTTCCACTTGGATAACAGCCATTCTGGTTTTATTTTTTGAAAGAGTTATCTATTTATGCATACAAGAACTGGGGTACAGGCTAGAGGTGGCGGGGGAGAGGATTCACCAGAGACAGAGTGGGGAACAGAACAGGCAGACTAACTGAAATACACTGCTGAGGGGAGCAGCGGGCAAAACAGGATAGGACTGCTGTGCCATGTGGGCAGCTCCCTTGCCCAGGACTGAACTCAGACCACAGAGGTGATAGTGCTGAGGCCCTGTGGGAAGCGATGCTCCTTATCACATAGATAAGATTTTTGGGAAAAGATGTATTTGTTTATGCATACAAGAGCTGGGGTACAGGCCAGAGGTGTGGAGGTGAGAGGATTCACCAGAGACAGAGCGGGGAGCAGAACAGGCAGATTGACTGAAATACACTGCTGAGGGGAGCAGTGGGCAAGACAGGAGAGGTCTGCTGCTCCATATGTGTTGCTCCCTGGCCGGCCAGGGATCAAACTTGTGCTGCAGTGGCTGGCAATAGCTTGTTAGTGCTATCTTTAACCCCTGCACCACCCATTCAGAATAGGGAGGCCCCCATTCTGCGTTTAAAATCTAAGAGTTGTTCTATTTCTGCATTTCTTTATCTTCCACATATAAGTGAAATCATACAGTATTTATCTTTTTCTATCTGGTTTATTTCATTTAGCATAATTGCCTTAAGGTCTGTCCCCGTGGCTATATATATATATATATATATGATTTATATATATATAAATGTATACATAATATTTATATATAAGATTTCATGTATATGTGTATACATACACACACACACACACACACTAAACACACCCATACCTGAGTATAATTTTATTGCAAAATACAGTGCCCTAAATGAGCCTGACTCTGGCCTCTTTTAACCCATAGGTTCTCACTCCTACCTTTTTTTTTTTTGCCTTGGAACTTCATTGACTTAACTGATCATTTACCCTGTAGAATTTACCACAGTCTAAGTTTTGTGGATGCAATTCCAATGATGTCATTTACCATATTATCTGCTGAGAGGTCTAATACACATGTCCACGGTAACAACAGGGAAAGAAAATTTGCAAACAAATCAATAATAACAAGCAAAATACAAGGTTATCAGAGGTTTAAAACACTGCTTAGACAAAGGTTATCAGAGGTTTAAAACACTCCAGACAAATGGCGTCCAGAGCAATGATTCCATGTGATTCCAATGGAAAGAGTACCATGGGGTACCTAAGGAAGTGAGACCTTGGGCCCCAATTTGGCACAGGTTCTTACATCCCTGACTTCACAGGGTCAGCAAGCTCATCAGGCTTCATGTAACCATGAAGGGTTGGATGGAGAGCTTATCAGTGGCAGCAAGGGAAAAACTTTACAAATGTCTTATTTGTAAATGCCGGAGAACCTTTGTACGGTATTCTGTGTGGAGACGATAACCCCAGTGATGACTGAGGTTAAATTTCCCACTGCCTGGCAGAAGGAGTTTGATGTTCAATTTAGGGGTCTACAGAAAAGCAACATTTCTCGAACTCGTTTCTTTGTACCACAAGCTTCATGGGCTTCCTTCAGGCTAGGATGAATTTTGATCCACCCTGCCATGTGGGTGTCACAGTAGATGTCTCCAAGGCAAAGTATAGAGGATGAAAATATGCCCCTACTCCATAAAGAATGAACAGAGCTAGAGAATACATCTGGATCTGTGGGGAAGGGCGGCAGACCAAAGAAAATGGTGCTCAGATTTGCTTTGGAAAACCTCTGCCACTGGTAGCCTGTTCATATTCTAGGGGCAGCAGACTTGAAATGGCATCCTTTAGGGGTAGAGGGGAGAGCAGATTTTAGATGCTGGGGTAAAAGGCCTGCCACTGCAACGTGGTGACATTGAGAAACACTATGTGACATTGTGGGGCTTTGATTCACCTATTAGGTAATGTCTGATGTCTGTCGATTTTTTTCCTCTAAAAAGCTTCCTTTGGAAACCCTGAAGCCAATAGTGGAGGAATTGCTGGTGCCAATCTACTCATCTGTCTGCTAAAGAAATTCCCCAGGCTTTGGGATGATTATTTTGGCCCACAGGAGTCTGATCCAGTAAATGGTAACAGAGAGTCCTTATTGCAAGATATCTCTGGCACAAGGGATCTCTTTAATGCTGATATTATAAGTACACCTGAAGAGTAGAAAACTTTTCCCTACCTCTCTGGGTTACAATGAATAGCAACAGCGATGTAACAACAAGCCAAAACAAACAAACAAACAAAAAAAACCCCTCCCTTGAATTCAGGGAAAGTTTCTAAACATAGGGTCTGGATTCAGAGACAATAGAAGCCTCCCCAAGCCCCACCCACATCCCTAAACAATAGCACGAGCAGCTCCCCCAGCCACAGCGCAGAAGCACCAGGTCCCCAGTGGTATAGCAGAGCTTTCATCTCTGCACAGTTACTTAAATCACAAACTGTCTTTCTGGAAGCACTAGAGGTAGGTGCTGCCAACATAATACTTTCTTTTGCACACTGTGTACATTTCCAAGCAGATTTTAACATGTGTAACCAAGTAACAGGATGTTGAATGGGGACATTGTCTGTTGTTTGGAGGTGTCTCCCATGACTCAGAGGATGACAAAGAGATGCCATGTCTCCCTCAGCCACCTCTCCCGGGGTTTGTAAGAAGTGACCACATGGGTTACCCACTACTGTCAGTAAGGTACCCACTGACAGTGTATCCAGAGATGACGGAAAGGATTGGTGTGTTAAAACCCCAGTTATTCTCAAATAGGAATACAGACTATTAGTTGAGAACAGAAGCTGTGCCAGGAACCTGGGATAGAAACCCCTATGTAATACTGTGAAGCAACAGTGTTAGTCAATGGTAATAAATGAAAACATTGTTTTTATACTAAAAAAAAGTGAGACTACATTGATACAATAAACATTCTGTGTGATTTCTAAAGATAAAGACTGACACTTCAAAGACATTTATTTTGGACTACATGTTCACCCTTCAACCAGCCCCCCCTCTCCCCGCCCACATGCTCCAGTGAAGGGGTCACTTGGTAAACCTTTTAAAAAAGTCCTTGCGGGCCTCCCTGGTGGTGCAGGAGGTTGAGTGCTGCACTGTGAAGCTGTCCGCAGCCTCTGCAGCAT